ATTGGAGCTTTGTGACACGGTGCATTATCCTGCTGGAAGTAGCCATCAGAGGATGGGTACATGGTGGCCATAAAGGGATGGACATGGTCAGAAACAATGCTCAGGTAGACCGTGGCATTTAAACGATGCCCAATTGGCACTAAGGGGCCTAATGTGTGCCAAGAAAACATCCCCCGCACCATTACACCACCACCACCAGCCTGCACAGTGGTAACAAGGCATGATGGATCCATGTTCTCATTCTGTTTACGCCAAATTCTGACTCAACAGAAATCGAGACTCATCAGACCAGGCAACATTTTTCCAGTCTTCAACTGTCCAATTTTGGTGAGCTCTTGCAAATTGTAGCCTCTTTTTCCTATTTGTAGCGGAGATGAGTGGTACCCGGTGGGGTCTTCTGCTGTTGTAGCCCATCCGCCTCAAGGTTGTGCGTGTTGTGGCTTCACAAATGCTTTGCTGCATACCTCGGTTGTAACAAGTGTTTTTTTCAGTCAAAGCTGCTCTTCTATCAGCTTGAATCGGGCGGCCCATTCTCCTCTGACCTCTAGCATCAACAAGGCATTTTCGCCCACAGGACTGCCGCATACTGGATGTTTTTCCCTTTTCACATCATTCTTTGTAAACCCTAGAAATGGTTGTGCGTGAAAATCCCAGTAACTGGGCAGATTGTGAAATACTCAGACCGGCCCGTCTGGCACCAACAACCACGCCACGCTCAAAATTGCTTAAATCACCTTTCTTTCCCATTCTGACATTCAGTTTGGAGTTCAGGAGATTGTCTTGACCAGGACCACACCCCTAAATGCATTGAAGCAACTGCCATGTGATTGGTTGATTAGATAATTGCATTAATGAGAAACTGAACAGGTGTTCCTAATAATCCTTTAGGTGAGTGTATATGTCAAGTTCTGTGTGTGTTGCATGAACGGAATACAAACTTTTGTTTTGTTGTACAATCTTCATTATAATGACAAATAAACTATTGTATCTTGTAAATTTTGCAATTTCTTGGTCTCTATGTTGTTTCATCAATGATAGGACTTTTCAGCCTTTTCAGAGTCAGCTGTGTTTTGCAACAGAGCTGTGGTACTGATTACTAAAAACTACCTTGGTTGAAAACAAGCTATCAGCAGTTTTTAGATGTTGTTTTGTACTTGCGAGGTAAAACAAGTTCAGTGTATAGTAGCGCTATAGGCTCAAATTTTACTCCAGTATAATTAACCATATTCCAGAGACTGCCTAAAGTTATGGGAAGTCGGCTACCATGCAGAGCTAGGTCAGCTTATAGAAAAAAAAAGACAAGACCAGCACTCAGTTGAATCTCCATAAAGTTTTTAAGAACACTATAATACCAACAGAGACTGAAACCGCATCGAAACTAATTATTGTAAAGTCATTTGCAGTTGGAAGTACCTGTGTAGCCTACATGTGTTTTGAGATGAGACAGTTTGAACACAATTTCTATTTTAGTATGGATCAGTGTTAACACTGTTACACAAGATGAGAGTCTACAAGTATTACGTATTTCTGGTTATTTTTTTGTTTTTGCAGTTTGTTTGTATTAAATTTGTTTATTTTAATTTTTGTGCTGTTGTTTTTACACTTTACACACATAAATAAAACACTTAAACCTGTTCTGTTTTTTAATTAGTGCTGTTTAAAAGTACTTCGTCATTGCAGGTGACTTGCCGTCAGCAGTTCAGGATAAATAAACGGAACATTAAACCTCCATGTCTCCAATGAGGACTGAAAAGGGAACTGGATCTCTCAGCGCAAGGCGTTGCCTCTGTCATGCGCTTTCTCAGCTCTGTGATTGGCAGAAATGTGCAGAGTGACGTCACGAGGTCTGCCGTGTCTGGTATAAATACTCGGAGCGACTCACCTGCCAGTTACACCAGGGAAGAAAATCTTGAGGAGTTCTTGCTTCAACAGTGTTTGAACGGAGCTTCTTCCTTCGTCCCGCTTTTATTTCAACTACTCTGCATTCCGGACACGAGAAGCCTTTTTTCTACTTGAACACTGCTGATAAAGTCGTCGTAAAGCTCTGTTTTTGTACCGTTTTGTTAATAAAAAGCTAAACGCCAGCTAAAATGGAGTCCCAAGTGCGTCAGAACTACCACCGCGAGTGCGAGGCCGCCATCAACCGGATGGTCAACATGGAGCTGTACGCCTCTTACACCTACACTTCTATGGTGAGGAAAACAACCTACATATTAACTTGCGAAGTAGGCTGCGTGATGGCTTTATCATTTATCATCCACCCACATTGGACGACTGAAAGACTTTGTGTTGAAAAGGAAATGTAGTGAATACAACTGCTAATCATCATACTAAATGAAAGAATAAGCTCAACCAAGAATTGCATGTTATCATGGTGTTTTTCCCCTGCCCACCATGTCATGCATGTGCTGCTGTCAGTGCTTGTCAAGAGTGTAGTTTGCTTAGTCACAAAACCATGACCACTGAACTTTTTGTCACAACTTATTTTTAGCCAAATATTGAGGGGTCATGTCTCCTAATCGCTGTTTTTCTCCTGTCTTCCTCCCGCCTTGTCCCTCACAGGCCTTTTACTTCTCCCGTGACGATGTGGCCCTTCCAGGCTTTGCCCATTTCTTCAAGGAAAACAGTGATGAGGAGAGGGAGCATGCTCAGAAGCTGCTGTCCTTCCAGAACAAAAGAGGAGGACGCATCGTCCTGCAGGACGTCAAGGTCAGTTCAGACCGGAGAACTGGTCCTGTTGTGACATGTCCCTTCTCACCCTGTGTGTCAGTCTGCTATAATGCTGCTATAACTGACTGTTCTTCTGTAGAAACCAGAGCGTGATGAGTGGGGGAGCGGGCTGGAGGCCATGCAGTGTGCCCTGCAGCTGGAGAAGAATGTCAACCAGGCTCTGCTGGACCTGCACAAACTGGCTTCTGGACATGTAGACCCTCATGTAAGTTGTATGAATAGTCGATTAATGCTTAGAGGTGTGCAAAAGAGCATCCTGGGTAACAGAGGTTGTGTGAGTGCTGTCAATAGATCTTAGAAAATCTGCTTATTTTATAGCATTAACTTGTTCATTTAACATGCAAAACTTAGATTTTGCACTTAAAGAACATGGAGAGTTGGTCTACATGCAGTTATTGACCGTGTTTAATGTGACTGGGGGAGAACAGTAGATCTGTCATGATGACAGACGGCCTTTGGATTTTCTGTGTGGGGTTTTTTTTTTTTTTTTTTTTTTTTTAAACAATCAATACCAGAGTCAACATGACTCCTGCTGGGTAAAAGACAAACTTGTGGGGTTCATCAGTACGGGTAGTAAATTGTCGGTCTTTACCAAACCAACAATTGTTCTCTCATCCTGTCCTCAGCTGTGCGACTTCCTGGAGACCCACTACCTGAACGAGCAGGTGGAGGCCATCAAGAAGCTGGGCGACCACATTACCAACCTCACCCGCATGGACGCCAACACCAACAAGATGGCAGAGTACCTGTTTGACAAGCACACCCTGGAGGGCAAGAGCTAAACGCAAAGTCCCTGGAGAGAATCTTGCTGACACGCAGGCTTTAAACTAAACGCAACCTTCTGCTCCAGTTTGTTTACGAGCGTAATTTCACATCTAATTGGCTTAACCTCTGTTAAGTTCTCGTACGTTCTCTGTGGTGTCACTGTTAATGTTCTAAGGAAGGATGGATGGATATCAGCTTCTGCTTTGCACTCTAACTATAAACCTCCCCTTGTAATATTTTAACTGACTGTGATTATCTGAATAAACATTTTGAGCTGGACTCTGATGTCTGTCTGTTACATGAGCTCTTCATATTGACCTAAAAGCTGTAGGTGATGTTTACAAACTGAGTCATGAATAAACCAGGTGTCTAGCTCTTTAAAAGGTCTAAATTCAAAGATTGTCAAGTAATTGGCTTAAATTCTTCAATGGAGCTTGCATGTAAAGCTGCTTGTACTGGCTAAAATTATATCAAAGTTAATACCTTAATTTGTCCCCTAAATGTTCATAACATCAACACCTTATATGCACAAGCAAAACCTTTGCCAGTGTGGGGACAGTTCTTATAAGTGAGGGGTGTATCTGTTTTTGGCTACACTGTCTTTTGATAGCTGAAATTATAGAGCTGTTCATTGCTAAATCAACATAATGCTGACGATCAAGAGCATAAATGGCAGTGTCTTGCAAGTCTGTATAGCTGGTTAGATGTCTACCTTTAACAGATTATGGTGTTTTGGGTTAAAGATCACCTAAATCTGAGTGAGCAGTTTTCTTCTGTTTATCCAAACCTAACACAGAAGCAGTTTTGGATGCCTGGCAGTGGTAGAGGTCCTTTTTTTTTTTTTTTTTTTTTTACTTGGGTAAAAGTTGCAATAACGGGTAGAAAATCTCTTGAATAAAGGTCATGCATTCAAAATTTTTTAACTTACCAAAAGTGAAAGTAAAGGTTATGCATAAAATTTCATAACATGTGCTTTATTATTGGAATATTATTAATTGATGCATTAAAGCGTGCATCACCTAGTAAAAGTGGGGAATTGAGAGCCTTTGGAGACATCAGTTGGGTTGTTTTGGGAGAGGTATTGTAATGCATCATCGCCATCCTCTGGAGATATTTAGTACTGCATAGTTAAGCCATAACACAGTCACTTCAACCTTCCACCCACCATCAGCCTAAATTAACTATTTGGTACATTTGTTGTTATTGACATACAGAAGAAATAGCTCTGCAGCACAAATAATTCCACCGACAGCAACGCAAGTCTCCCTGATTGGTATTTAATTTACTTATTCAACAGAGTGGATCTTCTATCTGACAAACTTCTTAAAGCTGGACCACAGTATAATAAAAAAGTCTCAGTAATGTAGAGCGGGAAACTATTTAATGTCACAGTGTTAGACGAATTTGCTCTTAAAGATGGACTTTTTTGCAGTGGAGGTGGACAGTAAGTAGTTGGCAGTGAGGGATATTGTGGAGATTAACACAGAAGGGGGAGGGAGGGGGAGTTGTGTGCGAGAACATCTCATCAGTCAGTGGTGGATTTGTCTAGAGTACATTTGGATGCAAAACAAATCAATAAGATAAAATCCAAAGGACATAGAGAGACTGACACGTAACAGGGTGAGTTTTGTGCTGTTTTACTTTGTATTATAGTTCATTTTAGAGTGAGTCATAAGTTCATTTGTTACCAAAGTCAAACTAATGGCTTATGCCAGATAAATAGCTGAAAAACACATTTTCTGTACATTTGTTAATGACTAATTTCAGCTGTATTTCCCTTAGTATGTCTTTATACGTGTATTTTACTCGTGCTGTAAATCTGTTAAGGAGCAGCTATGTTCACAGGGAGCACAAGCTTAATGTTAATTTATTGGATTTCATACTTCAGTGCTCATTGTTATGTCATTCTTTATCTTTTCATGAATGCATTTCAGTAGGAAAGTGCATGAGAGAAACATTTCACTTTACGCATAGTGGTGGATGTTTTCCAAAACTGGCTAAGATTAGTTTAAGTGGCTTATAGGAGGCTAATGCACTATTTCCAGAGTCTGTGTTCACGTGCAATCACCCGCAATACACACCTTCACAATACCGATGTTTACCTCGACAGCCTAAATGAAGTTTCTGACACCATGTCGGGTATTATAACCTTTAAATCCTGTAGCTTGATGTTGGGGAGACGAGCAGGACGAGCTTGAATGGACACTGGATGGTTGTTTGCACCTTGCTCACAGGCTACTGTAATGCAAATGAAGTTGGCTTTTGTAATGCTCAGATTAACAAGACACAGTAGAATTATCTTAACTACAATGATTGTGTCCTCAATTTGTGGAGAATATTGTGCAAAGCAGCATGCAGTTGCACAGGTCACCACAGGTCAAATGATGTTGCCAGATATAAGGATTATAAAAAGCAAATTGAGTATCACAGCTGTGTTTATAGAAACATCAAGAATGAATGGGACAGCAATAAGGTGCTCAAATAAGCATCACCTCACAAAAAGAAGTTCAAAATGAACACAATGCTCTCTTATGTTAAGGTTTCAGGGAAGTCAAATAAAACCGTGTTATCCTTTAAATTTATGTCATTTCAATGACATGTCAGTTCCTGATTTCACATTAATGTATATTGCTTGCTATGTATATATTTTGTCACAATATACCTACCTACCTACCTAGCTGCTGGTTAGCTTAGCTTAGCATAAAGAGTGGAAAAGGGGGAAACAAGCTTGGCTCTGTCAAAATGTAATAAAATCAATCAAAATGTAACGGTTCTTAGCCCAGCACAGCAACTTCCTGCATTATTTAATGCTCAGAGCCAAGAATTAGTCCATCACATAACCCACCATAAAACGGCAAGTTTGTACAAGTTGGTGGATTGTCTTTTCTTTCCCACAGACCCAGGCTAGCCACCCCACCCCCCTGTTTCCAGTCTTTATGCCAAGCTAAGCTAACGACTGCTGCTTCCAGCAACATATTTACTGTACTTTTGTTTTAACCTTTATTTAGGGAAGTTTCACTGAGAGGAAGCTTTGCAGGAACGCCCTGAGCAGCTCCACTTGAGCGGTTAGGGTTAAAGGTACCTTTGTCGATACAAAATGTTGCTGTTGGCTTGGGTGTACTATTTCAAGTTCTCAACAAATGCTAAAGTTACTAACGTGTGCATGCCTGCAGTAGCCTGGGCAGAGTGTCAGAAGCCTAACGTGGGATGTGAGCCGTGAGCCGTGAGCTTTTAAACTGACCAAATCCCACTGCCGGCTGTTCACCTCCAATCTGTCTGCAGGGGATCAGACCAGAGAGCCTTTAAACATATACAAGTATTGGCATGAGGTCCTATATACATTTCTGCTCAAATGTATTTTTTGAGAAGCTGGAACCAGTGAATGTTTGTATATATGTAATATGTGTATAATGACAATTCTAACATGGTGACTTTAGCAGGTTTATCCTGCAATCTCAGCTTAGAGTGTAACATTTGCTGTTCAGCACAAAACACAAACATACAGCTGAGACTGATGGGAAGTGCCAAAATGTTGATGGCTAGAGAAAAAAAGTTAAGGGATCGCTAAAGTTATTACAGTTTTCCCTGTGGGGACATCACCCAAAAGATGTCAAGACATGACATTAAAAACTAAAATGTCAACCTCATGGTGGGGGAATGGTATTCTGGGGATCATGAATGTCCACAAAATCTCTGGGATAATGATAATGATGATGGACAAACCAACATGCCACCTGCTGAATATGTTTGCACCCATGAAGTCTTTGTATTTCTCTTGTCTATGGACTCCCTCACAGAACCAACTGGGAAACAGGACAACACTAAACACAGATATAAACTAGGTTACTGGACACAGGACAGCAGACAGGACTGAACCCCAAAGAAAAACAGACTAAACAACAGACACTGAACTGATCAAACATAACGAAAACTCACAGAGGGCTAAACATAAACATGAGTGCAGAGAGTGACATGTGGTGATTGGTAGTTTGTAATTTTAATGTAGGACCTTGTCTCTCAGCTTTTTGTGGCGTTACACTGCAAGCGTTGGAGGTTGACTCATGTTTTGTTGTTCATCATGTAAGTTTTGTTTCATTTGTCAGACATTGTTCTTTCCTACAGTAGGTTTATATAAAAGGCTGCTGTCTTATTTTGACAAGCCATGTCTCTTGAAAGAAGACTTCTCTAGATGTTTTTGTTTGTGGCATCACTTATTTGCTTTTTATTTTCTTCTAATTTATCTTTAAACAAAGTTCTTGCTATTGTTTGTGGAGAATTATTTTTACCCAAGAGCAGCCTTGCCACATATCGCTTCTAATAGTCTTCTAATTTTTCTCATACTATGAACCAGGAGGCAAAAGTATGTATTTGTTGGGAGTTTTCTCATGTCAGCAGCATGATTTACTCCATTCTGCAATCTCTGAGAAACAGAATCAGCCTTTTCCGCTTTATTTGCCAGGTATGTGTACACATACGAGGAATTTGACTCTGGATTGTACGTTGCTCATGATGTGCTTACTCATACAATAACAAAATCAGACACAGACTACAGTATACAGAACACATATACACACTGTAAACCAAAACCAAAGCAATATAAACAGATTGAGACAATAGTGCAATTGCAGAGTGCAAAGGATGCAGGATAGTTTATTAGTATGGACATGTCAACCTGGCCAAGTTTCACACTCACTGATAAGTAAGTTTTTGGCAGCAGCCCAGCCTAAAGCTGATGTGACCCAGATGTAGTCATCATCCTGATTTTGGGGTTTTCTGAACCCAGCAGAGTACTAGCAGAAACATAGGGTGATTTTCTCTAAAGTACTTTAGTGACGACCTCCAGTAAGCTTAGACTGATATTAAACATTCAGTTTCATTTCCCTGTATTTGTTTACTGCAAAACCTGCAGTTAAAGCTGCTGTTAAGTTACTATAGCTTGTGGTTGATGTGTGTTTCACCTGAGAGTTTTAGTGTCTAAATAAAAAACATTTTTGCACTCAGTGGATACTTGAAAATGATCATATTAAACAATATATTTGGCACTGCACAGAATGGGATTTGCCATAAAAAGGCTAAATGCTATGTTATTTTCTACAACATTGCATAAACACACAGATTACTAAAAAAAGTCTCACAAAGGTCAAACCCTAACCATCAGAGATGTACTGGATAGTAAAATGCCAAACTCGGTGTTCTTCTATCTTCATGATATGGACTCATAGTATGTAGCATCAAACGTACGTCAACAAAGCAAAGCGTGTTTATTTCCAAAGGGAATTAGATATCTCAGAGACAAATGCAGTAAGCCCTACACTTTCATCTCAGCTTCAGTGATCACATTTACATGGTTTTTAACACATTTTACATTTTGAACATGAATGATCTAATTCAAAGCAAAAGTTCGACATTATGGGAAATTCGCTTATTTCTTGCAGAGAGTTAGATGAAACTTTCGATACCATAGGCACACCTCTCATATCAGTTATAGCTCGTTATAGCAAGCAGCGATTAGCGGTTGGATTATCTTAGCATAAAGACTGGAAACAGGGGAAAACAGCTAGCCTACTTATGTCCAAAGAAAACTGTCTACCATCACCTTCAAAGCTCACAAATCTCATTTGAAGCATAAAATGACATTTTACAGTATGTTATCTGTCGGATTATTTCTTGGCCAGGAAACTATGAAAGAATCCAGGAAGTTACTGTTTTGTTTGATTTTGTTACCTTTTGACAGAGCAAGAAGCTGTTTCCACCCAGTTGCCAGTCTTTGTACTAAGCTAAGCTAAGCTAAGCTAACTGGCTGCTGGCAGTAGCTTTATATTTATGATTTATGTACAGACATGGGATTGGTATCATCTCATTTAACTCTCCGCCTGAAAGTGATTAAGCGTAATTTACATAATATTGAACTGTTGCTTTAAGGCTTTTCAGTTGGAGGTGAAAGACTATCTATCTGTCTGTCTGTCTGTCTGTCTGTCTGTCTATCTTTAATCCTCTACTTATGCCATCCAGGGAGATAAAAGGGTTGTAACACAGCTCGCCACCTACATCAGATCTTATTATTAGAAAATATTATGTGTATGAATGTCTGTGTGTGTATGTCTCTATTTTAGCTGTCAGGAGGGAGGATTAATGACAGACAGAGGGAAACAAAAGGGTGGAGGAGTGAAGGAGAGATGATAGCAGAATGGGCGGAGTCCCAGAGAGGCAAACTGTCCTTAATTTGTTTAAGCCAAGGGATTTTTGGATTACCTTTGACAATTAATCTTGTTACATCGCTGTGCAGTGACAGAGGGATTTCTAGAGTGGGTGGGGCTTATGTATGTGTGCACAACTGATAGGTTGAGCTCTTTATAGGTCATAAAAGTCCTTAATAGAACAGCATATTACCAGAAACTGACTGTTTTTTTTCTTTTTTTCCTGCTTCTATCCCGGGCCACAGGCAGGGATAAACCCACCTTTCTATGTAAGCCTGATTACTGCGGTGAATTCACAGCCTCATTAATTTAATGCCTCATTAAAGGGTAGAAACTGATATCAACTCTTCAAGCATATGGATGAGAAATAGAACAAAGAAGGAATTAATCATTTTAATAGTTGTATTCTTCCTTTTGTTTAGATTATCTATGTATGAATCCCTTTCACGCATAACGTCCTCTACAGTGGACAGATATTTGGACCAACCACCATGTGGCGGACCCCCAAAGTGTTGTTTACAATTGCCTTTAATTATTATTCTTTTGATATACTGCATCATTAATTCAAAATAAGGGGAGGAAAAAGGAAAATGTACCAAGAACCTCACCAATGACTGTAAAATCCTTTTATTCTCAGAAAAATAGACCAGTTAAAAAAAAATAAAAAATTTAAACCAATTAAGATGTTGAAATACTTTTGTCCAGATTTTATTGACATATTTCTTGTACATTTTGTTCTATAAAAATAAATTTTTCCACTCCAGTGGACATTACGTGCCAAAGGGTACATTCTGCCCATGTAGATTCTGCCTTATTTTGTATGCTTTGAATACCTATGTGTGTTCATTTGCTTCTAGTAAATGTTTAATGTTTAAAAATATATAGTTCTTTGAACCATACTTTAAAAACAAACATAAAAAATATATTAGTTTTTAATAATTCATGCATGAAAGGGATAAGGATAATGAACTCAACAGGCATTTTTCAAAGAATACATTCTGACATGTTCCAACAGAAGAAGCTGGAACAGCTGGAAATAATATGTAGCCTACTGATTGAATTCATATTTAGCTGCTTCATTTTTCCTTTATTTATTATTCCTGGCTTACAGGGACTATTGAATATAATAGAGCCATTGTTAACCTTATTAGAAACACATGTGCTTTTCCTTCTATGGCATGTCAAAATGTCCATGAGAGCCAATGAAATTTTCCTACATATATGATGCTGTGCGTGTGTGTGTGTGTGTGTGTGTGTGTGTGTGTGTGTCCACCAGCCCTGCTGTGGTATTATCATGTGCAAGCAATGAGATGCAGAGCATTGCCACCATAAGGGAAGCAGGGAGGAAGGAAAGGTGAAGGAGTAAGAGAGGAGAAAGGAAGCAACAAAGGAAGTAGGAATAAAAAAAGGAAGAGGAGGAGGACCACTGAAAACAGTATGCAGGAGAGGAAGAAATTAATAGAAGAAAGTAATATATAAAGTATAGATGAACACAAAATAGAAAAGTATCCAGTTGTTTGCTAGACATTTTACTAATGAGCTAGCTTGTCAAGTAGCTTTTATGTTAAGAAAAAATAGATTTATTTTGTCTCAGTATAACAGGTTATGTAGTGAAATTGAGTTTGTAACTGCCTTCTGTTACATAGCAGACAATAAATTACTATAGCAGCAATTATAGAAATAAACTATCATCACTGGAGCAGTGCTGAGGATGAATTAGAGTTTAACAGTCTGATAGCTTGGGGGAAAAAGCTGCTCTGCAGTCTGGTGGTAAGGCAAAATTCTGCATCTCTTCCAAGATGGCAGCAGGGTGAACAGGCTGTGGCTGGGTGGTTACTGTCCTTTAGTATCCTCTGGGCTCTGCGTAGGCACCTCACCTCACCGATATCACTGATGCTCGGGAGATGGGTACCAATGATCTTCTGAGCAGTTTTAATCACCCGCTGCAGAGCCCTCCGGTCCTGGACCGTGCACATCCCATGCCAGTTTGTGATGTTTCCTGTCAGGATGCTTCTATTGCTCCTCTGTAAAAGCTGACAAAACTTGGGAATTTGGCCTGCTTAAGCTTCCTCAAGAATTATAGTGGTTTCTGAGCTGAAAATAAATTTTTCCACTCCAGTGGACATTACGTGCCAAAGGGTACATTCTGCCCATGTAGATTCTGCCTTATTTTGTGTGCTTTGAATACCTATGTGTGTTCATTTGCTTCTAGTAAATGTTTAATGTTTAAAAATATATAGTTCTTTGAACCATACTTTAAAAACAAACATAAAAAATATATTACTTTTTAATAATTCATGCATGAAAGGGATAAGGATAATGAACTCAACAGGCATTTTTCAAAGAATACATTCTGACATGTTCCAACAGAAGAAGCTGGAACAGCTGGAAATAATATGTAGCCTACTGATTGAATTCATATTTAGCTGCTTCATTTTTCCTTTATTTATTATTCCTGGCTTACAGGGACTATTGAATATAATAGAGCCATTGTTAACCTTATTAGAAACACATGTGCTTTTCCTTCTATGGCATGTCAAAATGTCCATGAGAGCCAATGAAATTTTCCTACATATATGATGCTGTGCGTGTGTGTGTGTGTGTGTGTGTGTGTGTGTGTGTGTGTGTGTGTCCACCAGCCCTGCTGTGGTATTATCATGTGCAAGCAATGAGATGCAGAGCATTGCCACCATAAGGGAAGCAGGGAGGAAGGAAAGGTGAAGGAGTAAGAGAGGAGAAAGGAAGCAACAAAGGAAGTAGGAATAAAAAAAGGAAGAGGAGGAGGACCACTGAAAACAGTATGCAGGAGAGGAAGAAATTAATAGAAGAAAGTAATATATAAAGTATAGATGAACACAAAATAGAAAAGTATCCAGTTGTTTGCTAGACATTTTACTAATGAGCTAGCTTGTCAAGTAGCTTTTATGTTAAGAAAAAATAGATTTATTTTGTCTCAGTATAACAGGTTATGTAGTGAAATTGAGTTTGTAACTGCCTTCTGTTACATAGCAGACAATAAATTACTATAGCAGCAATTATAGAAATAAACTATCATCACTGGAGCAGTGCTGAGGATGAATTAGAGTTTAACAGTCTGATAGCTTGGGGGAAAAAGCTGCTCTGCAGTCTGGTGGTAAGGCAAAATTCTGCATCTCTTCCAAGATGGCAGCAGGGTGAACAGGCTGTGGCTGGGTGGTTACTGTCCTTTAGTATCCTCTGGGCTCTGCGTAGGCACCTCACCTCACCGATATCACTGATGCTCGGGAGATGGGTACCAATGATCTTCTGAGCAGTTTTAATCACCCGCTGCAGAGCCCTCCGGTCCTGGACCGTGCACATCCCATGCCAGTTTGTGATGTTTCCTGTCAGGATGCTTCTATTGCTCCTCTGTAAAAGCTGACAAAACTTGGGAATTTGGCCTGCTTAAGCTTCCTCAAGAATTATAGTGGTTTCTGAGCTTTCTTCACCAGTGTGGAGATGTGAGATGACCGTGTCAGGTTCTCCGTGATGCTGATTCCCAGGAACCTGAAACTGTTCACATGCTCCACCTCAGCTCCACTGATGTAGACAGGAGTGTGTGTCTTTATCTTCTTCATCCTAAAATCAATGATCAACTCCTTGGTTTTGCTGATGTTGAGCAGTAGGTTGTTCTCGTCACACCACTCCGTAAGATAATCAATTTCTTCCTGATATGAAGTCTCATCGTTGTTTGAAATCCGAGCTGATGATGGTGGAGTTGTCTGCAAACTTCACAACAGAGTTCTCTCCATGTCGGGGGAAGCAGCTGTGGGAGTACAATGTGAACAGGAGTGGGCTGAGCACACAGCCCTGGGGGGCTCCGGTGTTGCCTAAATTAGCTACTTTTGTTACATGTTTGTAGCAGTTCATTTCCAAGTGAAACCAGATACACAAGCTCTTATAAAAAGTTAGCTGAATAGATGTAATAGTGTTAATACCAGATTTTACTTTGATGTACCTGCCAGACGTATGGCGTATGCTAATGCTAATTTTCAAGATATGCTCCACCTGACATGTTGATTGGAATATAACCATTGGTCCATAACCAAAGCCCAGGAAGAAAATTTCTGATTGGTTATAAAATTAAAATGGAATTGTATGCCATTACACTTGCCCACTTGATAGCACCATTATACAAGGAAACGTCTGGTTAGAGAAACTTTCCCACAGACTACATGTTTGTCTGTATAGCTTTCACTGTCCTGGGATAGGTAAAATAAGCTTGTTTTGGAGAAGATAAATCCTCTAGTCCTCACTCATAGTTTCGATATTTCAGTTGGTTTCTTTCACTTGGGCTCAGGACAGAGTGCTTATCACCATATTTCCTAGGCTACAATACTTTCCCATACCTTAGGGTCTACTCTGCAGTTTGAAAGGTTTTGCACATTTTCTAACCAAGTATGATACAATGTTACAGATTAAAACTACTGACAACATTTAAATGTTTGCTTTCTCTGGCAAGAACAGAGGAGTTCAAATTATTTATTGATGAAACAAAGTGATTGTGTGCAAGGCACGGACAGCTTTGTAATTTGTGGGGAAGCTTTGGTGGGAAATCCGCTGCAGCGTCACGGGATGGCGGCCAGCCCCCACAGAGAGGAAGGAGATAAGGAAACAAGATAAGATAATATATGTTTATTTTGAATGCAAGACTTTGTAGTTATGGAATTGCTACTAAAGGATGTGAGAACTTCCTTTACCACTGGAATTTTTCACCATGAGTCTACTACTACTTTAAGCAGAACTAAAATAGAAATAAAAGCACTTGTCCTTGGTGAGGACAGTTTGTGAGTCTTTGCAAGATGATTGAAACTAAAGAGTGAATAAATGGTGAGAGGCAGGAGTGAGTGAGAGGGGATTAAAGAGATTAAAGCCAGGCAAAAAAGGTCAAACAGGATGAAGTCTGAAACACATCTGAAGATAGAATGAATGTGTTGTTAGCTTCAGGGGGGTTCAGTGTTTTGTGGTGGTTTTTAATGTTTCCAAAGTTGATGTGCAGATTCCAAGGTCACTGATCGTTTGTTGTCCGATCTCCTTTGACTTCACAGAGCAACGATGCGATTGGTCAGCGTGGCGGGGGCGCGGCTCCGCAGGGCGGCTGAGGAGGAGGAGAGGGAGAGGGAGCGTCCACTATCCTCCCCGCACGAGTCACATCGCTCCAACCACCAGTTCGCCAGTATGAAGAACAAGTTCTTCAATGAGCTCACACACCTGCCAAGTAAGAGCAGATGCACACACATATGTAACATGTGCAAAAAATAAATAAAATAAACACACATGCTAATAGTTGCTCATCCACATGTGCATACTCCAGATTAAGCTGAATGAATTGTTTAAGCAATGTAAAAAATGGCTCAACAACAAGTAAACATATCTTTTGCATTCATCTCCTAGTGAAAATATTCAGAAAAAATGAGGCCCACAGTATTTGGGAATATTGGCAGTATTTTAACTGTTGTTCTAGGATGATTCAGTCTATACCTACATTTTTCTTATAACTTATAGCTTATCATTATCTAACCATCTTGTCATCTCATTTTCACTTCTCATGTGTTTCATTTCTTCATTCTGTCCTCCTTCATTTCGTTATGTGACCACTCTGCTCTGCTCTTGAAGATCATAAGCTCAAGTGTAAGTCCATCTTTTGTCTTGTACCATTTTTTTTCCCCAAGGCAGGAACCACATCGCTTCATTTTACAAGGCTGCAACATCACACACACGCACCTTTGCTGTGTTTTACTGTATGCACGCAGTGGGAAATTAGCCTTCAAAATAGGATTTAGCAGTGAGTTTAGCCCAGTTACCTGGCTTCGTAGTAGGCCTACAGGCCACAGGTTAACCGTTCAGCATAAGTTACCATGGAGAAGTGAACTACCGTCGTGCTCCTGAAAACCCAGGGTTAACCCCGAAGTTACCTCGATAAGCTCAAATCACTTTGGCCATCTCTACCCCCTTATAAGAAGTGCTTTTTGGCAAACCTCCCAGTCTATCCACAGCAAAACGACCTCAATTCTCACCAATATTCATGTCTTTCTTTCTGATCATAAATTCAGTGTTTCTTTTATTAAAATGAAACACATTGTGACATTTGCTAATTAGCACTAAACACAAAGTATAGTGGTATGGACCAAGTGGTGGCCAACCAACACACAGACTTGCACTGTTTAGAGAGTGCTTTTCCAAGATGCCTCACAAGTCCAAGGTATCTCAGTGGGAGTTAAACCCCTCACACAGGCAGTGTGTCACCACTGTTTCCTATCGAACTACACAGCACTAACCTGCTTTTCTCCCTCCTTTCCCCAGTGCCCATGTGGGCTGTGGGGGCCATTGTGGTTGTGGTCCTTGCCCTTATCGCCTGTATGGGCTTCTGCATCTACAAGAAGTGCTGCAAAAAAGAAAAGAAGCCCAAGAAGGTCCGTGAGAGGAAGGGAGGAAGAGGGCGCAGGAAGAAGGACAAGGAGGGAGAGGATGGAGAAGATAAGGTGAGAAAAGATGGGGTAGAGGGGTTCAGTCCCATATTTCCTATGTACTGCCACCAATGTGGTTACAAAAGAATTTTTGTCACACATTTCTACTACACAGTTTATATGGTGTCATTAGTCTAAAATCCAACAATTGAAGCTGAGAGTAATTGATTTAAAGTTTGATGATTAAAATGAAGAAAAACATTATGGGTACAAAGGCTGTACCGTTGTTTGTTTGCTTGCTTTCCAAAAGTTAAATGAAATAATAAATAAAAAATGGGGACTATGTGGTAAAAATGTAGCTGGATCTAGCTTAGTACAAAAATGCTGTGGTCAGGGCTAGTTATTTCCCCCTGTTTCCAGTCTTTATGCTAAGCTAACCGGCTGCTGGCAATAGGGTCATATTAAGTGTACAGATATGAATGTTGCATCAATCTTTTTTTATTTGACTCTCAGCAAGAAAGTGAATACACGTATTTCTCAAAATGTTGAAGTATCCCTTTAAGGCCAGGTCAAAGAGAAGTACATGGCTGACTACACTCTCCACAGGCCAACGGACGGAGTTAGCAGCAGCAGGGGCTGCACTGTTTTGTTTCTGATTGTAGTCTCTGCTTCGCTGTCCACAGCTGTTTGGCTTCTATCCATGTAGAGACTAGTAATGGATGAACTGACAGCTTAAAATGGGCCCAACAGCCAAAAAGGATGACACAGTCACAGCTGCTGTTCCCTTGTGCTGAACGCAGCTTGGAGAAGCTTATGGTAGCAAGCTTCAATGTGGTATTTAGATTCTATACACAGTATATACACTCACTTAAAGGATTATTAGGAACACCTGTTCAGTTTCTCATTAATGCAATTATCTAATCAACCAATCACATGGCAGTTGCTTCAATGCATTTATAGGTGTGGTCCTGGTCAAGACAATCTCCTGAACTCCAAACTGAATGTCAGAATGGGAAAGAAAGGTGATTTAAGCAATTTTGAGCGTGGCGTGGTTGTTGGTGCCAGACGGGCCGGTCTGAGTATTTCACAATCTGCTCAGTTACTGGGATTTTCACGCACAACCATTTCTAGGGTTTACAAAGAATGGTGTGAAAAGGGAAAAACATCCAGTATGCGGCAGTCCTGTGGGCGAAAATGCCTTGTTGATGCTAGAGGTCAGAGGAGAATGGGCCGACTGATTCAAGCTGATAGAAGAGCAACTTTGACTGAAATAACCACTCGTTACAACCGAGGTATGCAGCAAAGCATTTGTGAAGCCACAACACGCACAACCTTGAGGCGGATGGGCTACAACAGCAGAAGACCCCACCGGGTACCACTCATCTCCACTACAAATAGGAAAAAGAGGCTACAATTTGCAAGAGCTCACCAAAATTGGACAGTTGAAGACTGGAAAAATGTTGCCTGGTCTGATGAGTCTCGATTTCTGTTGAGACATTCAGATGGTAGAGTCGGAATTTGGCGTAAACAGAATGAGAACATGGATCCATCATGCCTTGTTACCACTGTGCAGGCTGGTGGTGGTGGTTTAATGGTGTGGGGTGATGTTTTCTTGGCACACTTTAGGCCCCTTAGTGCCAATTGGGCATCGTTTAAATGCCACGGCCTACCTGAGCATTGTTTCTGACCATGTCCATCCCTTTATGGCCACCATGTACCCATCCTCTGATGGCTACTTCCAGCAGGATAATGCACCATGTCACAAAGCTCCAATCATTTCAAATTGGCTTCTTGAACATGACAATGAGTTCACTGTACTAAAATGGCCCCCACAGTCACCAGATCTCAACCCAATAGAGCATCTTTGGGATGTGGTGGAACAGGAGCTTCGTGCCCTGGATGTGCATCCCACAAATCTCCATCAACTGCAAGACGCTATCCTATCAATATGGGCCAACATTTCTAAAGAATGCTTTCAGCACCTTGTTGAATCAATGCCACGTAGAATTAAGGCAGTTCTGAAGGCGAAAGGGGGTCAAACACAGTATTAGTATGGTGTTCCTAATAATCCTTTAGGTGAGTGTATAACACTCTTATATAAACTCTTGTTAACTTTAAGGATAAAAACAAGCAATATCTTTTTCTATAGCCTTTTCTATATCCTTATAGGCCTAATGCTTGTTCATCATTTTACAGTGATAGCAAGATCTTTAGGGTGGTTATTATGTGGGAAATCACAACTTTAAAGGCACCCTGTGGAGTTTTCTTGGAAACACACCAAAGTAATATTCTTGATGCCTGACAAATATGCTGAAAGCATTTCCCTGCTCATTTGATTAAAATGTGTTGACAATTTCATCAAAAAAGCAGGAGACTACTCATTAAAATGTTCTTCCATAGTGCTACTAGTGATCAAAATTCTGCAGGGTACCTTTATAAACACTATCTCATGATACTGTATTTTCACTCCAGGCTTTCTGTGGATGCTTAATAATGAACTGAAAATATTTGCCTTATAGCAGCAATCAGAGACTGCAGCATTCCCAGAATTGACAGACTGCAGGAGGTTGAATACAAAATGCACGAGCTTACCATTGTCTTTTACTGCTAACCATACTGTGTGTCTTCCAGGAGGGAGAGCAGGGGAAGGAAGAGGAAGAGAAGGAGAACTTTGGCAAACTGGAGTACACACTGGACTATAACTTTACTGATAACCAGGTACACACACCTGCACATAGTATGTTGCAAGCATACAGACCACTATCCAACCTCCCAAACATAGAAAGAATTAATGAGCCCAATAATAGAAGGACTCAACAAAACAAATGCCCTTTATTCTGGAAGCTAGCTCCATTTCAGAATTTGGGACACAAGAATGCCTACGGTTTAACTTTTCTCCCTCCGTCTCCAGCTGATAGTTGGCATCCTCCAGGCTCAAGACCTTCCAGCAATGGACTTAGGCGGGACCTCAGATCCCTATGTCAAAGTCTACATGCTGCCCGACAAGAAGAAGAAGTTTGAGACCAAAGTCCAGCGCAAGAACCTTTGTCCTGTCTTCAACGAGACCTTTATCTTTAAGGTCTGTACATCAATAATGGAGACCATGTTTGATTGTATTATTGGTAACGTTTTTAAACGTGTCTAAAGCACTTTGGAGTTCACCTTTTGTTAAAATACTATGCCTCCCCAGATACCATATAGTGAGTTGGGTGGTCAGACTCTGGTGCTGCAGGTGTTTGACTTTGACCGTTTTGGTAAACATGACGTCATTGGCGAGATCAAGATCCCCATGAACTCTATAGACCTTGCACAGCCAATACACGAATGGAAGGATCTGGTTGGAGGAGAGAAAGAGGAGGTACATGATCTTTTTTACATCCACTGAAACATATAACGAAAGTAACAGTCATTACAGCCAAAGGCTTGTACAATATGACAACCCGTCCATATATGTGTGTGTCCCTGACAGCAAGAGAAGCTGGGTGATATCTGTATTTCCCTTCGTTACGTCCCCACGGCCGGTAAGCTAACAGTTAACATCATGGAAGCTAAGAACCTGAAGAAGATGGATGTCGGAGGACTGTCAGGTGAACACATACTTGCAAGCATGCAAGACTGAGAATTGGTTTTCCGGCTGGTTCTTCTGATCCACTGTCTGACACCTTGTCTTTTTCTCAGATCCCTTTGTTAAGGTGGTGCTGCAGCACAACGGCAAGCGGCTGAAGAAGAAGAAGACGTCTGTCAAACAAAACACTCTGAATCCTTACTTCAATGAGAGCTTTAGCTTCGAGATCCCCTTCTCCCAGATCCAGGTTTGTACACTTTTTTCAGAGTTGTTCAGCACTGGGAACACATACCACAGGCTTTGAAGAACAATTTACTTCTATTGATCAGCTATAACTAACTATACAGACATTTTTTTTCTAACTATAGCTTGTCCTCCTCTGCTGTCTCCACATGCAGAAAATCCAGGTGCTGATTACTGTGTACGACTACGACAAGCTGGGCAGCAATGACCCCATCGGCAAGTGCTGGATCGGCTACGGTGCCTCAGGCGTTGGGCTGCGCCACTGGTCAGACATGCTGGCCAATCCCAGGCGTCCAGTGGCCCAATGGCACACGCTGCTGCCAGAGGAGGAGGTGGACGCCGCTCTGAAGGCCCCCATCCGCTAAACACACACCCATACACCATCATCTGCATAGGAGCTGTATTTGTTCATTTAAAACCAAACAACTGCAGGATTTACGAAATGACCTTTAACTTGAATACTGGTGGTAATTAGGGATCCAAGATCTTTTTTTCTTGTTTTTCTCCGCTAAAAGTGTTTTGGCAGCAAAAACTGCTGGAGGAAAACTCACCAAAATTGGCATGTGGGTTGAAAATTCCGCCCACTAAAGAAATGGCACTCATAGACCTCGTGGTGGCGCTATAACAACCAGCTTTACATTTTTTAAATGATCTTGAAAACGGCTTCGCTTAGAGTCAAACGTCTTTCATTATTTTAATCTGTGGATTCGTCTGCATCTTTGCTCTTGCTCTTCTGCTCTAAAAATGTCAAATAATACGACTTTTTATCACTTTTCTCTAAAACCTGTTTTTGCAAACTCGTCCCAGATGGTTTCACCAATCAACCTGAAACTTTGGCAGCATCATCTACAGATGTCGCTGATCAAAAGTTATCAAAAGAATTTTGATACGTCAATCTGTTTTTTTTTTTCATAGATTTTTACTTTTGTGTATTTAAGTACACTTTTACACTACTCAGTTCATGCATAAAATTTGGTAATGATTCCTCAAAGTTGGCATGTCTTATTACAACAAATGTAAATTTCTAGACATTTCTCATTCCAAACATCCAAAAATCTACAAAAATACCCCGGATGTCCTAGAGAGATGAAATCTTTTCAGCACATCCACTGTTTTGTGACTAACGTTTGCCTCACTGCAGCCTATGGTCAACTCAAAGGTCAGTCACTCTATGTTTTTCAGAATATGCTAATTCACAAGTCTTTCTTCAACACTACCAGAATCAACACATACATTCTCTAGATGGCTGATATCAAGTGTCTCAAAGGGTTTTTTAGATTGGTCACACGGCGAGTCTGCAGTGATTTTCAAAATCTTGCTGTAACTTGTACAGTATGCACATTTTGCACAGTTTTGGATCAAATGCCACCAAAATAATTGACAACACACCCAAAACCAGCAGAATGATGTGAGACTTTTTTCAGAATTTTCTCAGCAACATTTTGACAGTTGTAAGTGTTTTAAGTTTAAACTGGCAAAACTATCCAGGTCTGGCACATGTGATGTCACTACTTCAATTTGTGAGAAGGTGTGGGGCAACAGCCCGTCACCAGTAGCTCAGTCAGTCAGTCACTTGCTTTGCAGATTGGAAGTTCCAAGGTTCAAAGCCCCAGGTGACTGAGACAAACTTACTAACAACAGGGGTGTTCAAATCCTACTTAGTCTAAATTCTCTCCTTTATTTGGATTCTGTGACATCGCAACTTATTTTTCTCTGATTAAAAGTGTTTGTGCAACTTGGAAACACAAATGTCGCAGGTGGGTTGAACATTTCACCCAGTAGTCAGGCACATATAATGACGCTCTGTGATCTTAAGGTGATGCTGTAAAAATAAAATTAGCGTCAAAGTCCGAATTCTTTCATCACTTTAATCTCTTAAGTCGTCTGCATCTGTTCTTCTCCTCTGAAAATGTCAAATGTTGCATTTTTCACGACTTGCTTGGATCCCGATCATTGCCGCTCACGGCTATATTCTTTAATGTGCTTCATTTTCACACATTCATTTCAGTCATTCATTTTAGTAATATTTAATTTGGGGATACATGTGTGCTTTATATTGTGTTGACTGCATACCATAGAAATGTATACAAACACATGATGTGTACTTCACTCAAATTTATACACACCTATACACAGTGCAGCTAAATGTTTGTGCACACTGACCTACTAGTTAAATTACTCACCTATTAATATATTAAAGGGCTGATCCAGCAATATAATATTGACTTTCCAGAATGTTGGGGGACTCACAAGAGACAGATCTGAGCAGCAGAATATACTGACTTTTAGTCCCTTAAACAATTGGAAACTACATCTCCCCCAAGGCAACCTGATAGTCTTTAATCAGGGTTGTTTTCTCAGGCTGAGTAATTCTCTTTACGATGTATACAATTGGTGGACTGCCCCTGTAATATTTATTTCCTTGACCACCTTGGTTTTAGCTGAGCTACACCTTCTGTCTCGAGGTTAAAAATAACTTTTTTTCCAGTATAGGTATACTGCAGTATGTAGTGAAATACATTTTGATATTATGGTATGAAAAAACAAAGATATATCAATTATTTCTCTGTCTGAGTAATTCTAAACTGCTGTTGCAGAGCTGAAATCTGTATCTTCTTCTTTGTTTTAAACCTTTTCCTTGTGTTTTCCTCTTGTTTTCCCTGATAACTCTCTTGTCTCCTAAACAGTCTAAACTTCCTGTGAATATATATTTTGTTAAGTTAAATGTTTTTACTGATTATTGCTCTGACTCTTTGTGGCTGTTTCTGTGCTTGTGTTTGAATCAGTGGAGATACTGCGGAGTGTCTGGTAAGTGTGGTATGTCGATGTTTGTGTGTGTGTGTGTGTGTATGTGTGAGTGTTGTACTGTATGTAACAAAAGAAAATGGAATGCGGTTTGTGGTTTCACTTTCGATTAATGCTTTGTGATTGTAAATAAATAGCTGAATGACTAAAAAGTTTCCAAACACCGACCAACATGATATCTCTTCATTCCATCATACACACACACACACACACACACACACTCAATAGAATCAGTTAGATGCAGATGCATCATTTAGATTACGATTCTTCAGAATTTTACAAGTGGTATTGTTACACTAGCAGTCAGACAAACTAAACCACTTAAAGGTCATTTTCAGGGTATAACTGATCCTTCACCCTGTGTGTGTGTGTGTGTGTGTGTGTGTGTGTGTGTGTGTGTCCTGGGTCGGTGCAGTGAGTGAAAGACTGGATAAACAGTGTGCCCTCTTTAGTGAGCCAAACATGTGAGGCGGTCGGGGCTACAGGAAACAAAAAGAACACAAACAGGAGAGAAGAAACAGACACGTTCCAGATTATACAATGACAGTGTTTAACCACCTGAGGGAGCTCTTTACTGTAATTTTAGGCTGTTGTTTACATTTCAGTGAGGTTGGTGTGTGTTTACTTCAATTATACCTTAGTGCAGGTATATGTCATCACATCTACTGGAACTTCTGCACCCATGTCTTCCCATCTCTACACATCTGTTTGTTTATCTATGCACATTTCTTCATTTGCCTGTTATCTCTTCATCTGTCTGTACGGTAGTACAGAGTACCCTCAGCTTTTGCATGCAGCAGGGATGAACCTGAAACTCCCAGTCATGGGAGTTGAGCACAAGGCAACCAACTTTTCACTTTAGTTTGCAGTGATTGCAGTCATTACAGGATGTCACTGTACTGTGACTCTTGTATTAACTTTAGGGAGTCAGTGGTTACCGGAATGTGGAGGCAGGAGGACAGGGTGAAAGGGGTCATTGGAAAATGGGCCTCTGAGAATCTGGAGGGTTAAATATGAGAAAAACATCAGTCAGGTCCAGAGTCTAGTAGGTCTGCTCTTCATTATAAGGAGTATATTATGATTATACCTTCTCACAGTGACGCATTTGTTTTTTCACTGTGTGAGAAAATGTGGCATGAGAGGTTGTGAAACATGTTGCTAACACGTCAATGAGTTCACAGCCGTGACATTAGGCAACATTCCAGACATCCTACAAAGCAGCTATTCACCCGTGTGTCTGCATAACGACCACCACCACTTTCAAACCGGATGCCATGGCATACGTTTAATTATGTTTGGCTCAGACACACCTGCATGATAAAAAAGGCTTTTTAGAAGAGGTGGCCCTAATTATGTCATAAGGTGGTTTAAAGGAAGACTCTATATGGCCTTTAAAATAAGATATTGCTCCACTGTGCTGTGCCCCTCATTTCATCATCAATTCTGACCATTACCTAATCACAGGATGTGGTCTGTAATAAAATGGACATTCAGCAGGACTAGACAAGAGAATGCCAGTACATACTAGTAGCTTTGAAGGGGTCTTGCTCTACTGATGTTTTTTTCCCATCAAATAGGCCTATATGTTGGTGTTAGCATGTTTCTGTCATATTAGATCATATCTAATCATTTTCTCCCACTTGTTGCCCCAGTATTTTTTTTTAAATTGTCGTGAACAAGGCATGTAACTAAGGGCTTTTTATCAAAACTCCACACGCTCCTGCTCCGAAAGTTTGATCTTTTGCACATGTTTAAAGAATTCAACCCATTTTCTTTAAGCTTTTGTTGGGTCAAATTGGGTCATTACAGTCTTAAATTACTGCAGTTTGTATTTGTGGAGTACAGCAGCTAAAAACAGACCAGTCTTGGGGTACTGATCCATACACATTGTAGGTTAAGAATAACTTGATTTAGCTGACCTTGTTTAAAATAACAACCAAATAAAAATGGAACAGCAACAAAACAAACTCTGAGATGAGTCCATGTTTTTTTTATTATCAACACATCCTATCATGAACATATTTCATACACAGGAACTAAAATTAAGTGGAGAGGAATTGTGGGATTCATCCATTCCTATCCGGTCTCCCTTTTTTGTCATCAATGGTGTTTTGTTTTGTTTTTTGTTTTTTTTCCTGTTTACTTCCAGCGACCACCAACCTTCCCTTTGCCATGAACCTTTTTACTGTAGGAGGGACAGAGGAGAAAAGATAGAAAGGATTTAACAGGGAGAATTTTCTCATGAGCAGTTCATTATGTTCATGAAAATAACTACTTACAATTTCTGAGCATGTTGGATTCTGTTCAGCAGCACGATGATCTGCAGAAAAACAAACAAACAAGAAACAGCTTGTTTTCTCTCTAACCAATAGTCAAAAACCTAAAGCTCCTTAATTAACAGTGATATGGAACAGGAAAAAAAGCAGCAAGGTCTCACATTTGAGAAGTAACCTGCACATGTTTGACATTTTTGCTAGATAAAGTACTTAATTACCTACTTAGGCTCCTTAAAAATAATCAGATGGTTAACTCCTGTTTTTATTTCCTGACTACTTCTGTTTGCAGTAGCTGTCGTACCTCATATTTCTGGTGCTTCATGTACTCTATGTAGTCAAACTTCTCAGACTCCAGCTGGTAGATCCAGTTCCACATCTCCTGGGCTCGTTGCCTTGGAAAATGAAAGACAAAAAGTTGAACATTTATATTATGTATATATGTATATTATGTTGATTTATGTTTTTTAATATTAAAATATGGGTCTACATAGCTTGTCAACTGCTTCTAGGTTGTAATCCATGAATTTGATTGGCTAGTGGGCCTCGTTTGAAATTTTAAAGCTATTGACTATCCACTAATCTGTGATGGCCACATATATGATTTTGAGCTAAAAGACTGAGGCTAAAGCAACACAGTCAGAAAAGTCTGCAACCTCACCAGATGATTATCCGTGTAGAAGACATGGAAATAAAGAAACAGAATTGTTGCAGTCAACAAGTTTGGCTAGGGTGGCTGGAGCGCAAACTTCCCAAAATTCAATGAAGAGCTGGGCAGAACTGCTAACGTTATAAGCCTAAACTGTAATATGTGGTAGCAGTGGACTGGATAATCCCTGTTCGGGGGAGGTCTTCAGCGAATGGTCACTTGATAAAAATAATCTTTAGCCCATCCTCAACAGAAATCTACAATAGGATAGAAATCTTTGCATTACTTAATTCAGTAACATTTTAGGATATCAATACCCAGTTTATAGCTGCTGTAATGGTGCATCATCATTGGTTAGCTGTCTGAAATACAGTTGGAGGAGACTCACTTGAGTGCATCCTCCCTCAAGTTGTCGATGCCTAGCGGCTGCCGTCTCTCAGCCAGGGTCTTCTTCTTGATCTCTTTGCCTGTTAGACGCTTGCCCCTCCTCGACTCAGCCTGGAACAGAAAACACACAGTCCACAGTTAACCTCTACCATTATGACTGTTATCATTGTCTCTACTGAGAAGAACAGCAGCTCTTTTGACCTTGGCCAGGAAGCCTCCAAAGTTTGCTCCCATGCCAGAGAGCACTTTCTTTTTCTTAGCGTCGTCATCAGCCTTCTTTTTGGCTTCCTCTTCCTCTTTCCGGTGACGCTCCTCCTGATGGATGAAGAAGGACGGAGAGATGAAGCAGCAAGAAAACCACATTTACATGTTGAATTGAGCCCCCGGAGGGGAGATTTTGTGTTGTATTGAACAACCTTTTAAACATTTTATAAGTAAATAGTGGTTTCACATAGAGAAACAATTAGTCAATGAACATTTTATGATCTGTGTCATTTTTGTCACACAATGAGCCAGTGTATCCTTGAGAGACAAGGTAAAATATACCACTGTGTAGAGTGGGTGATAAATTTGCACATTGGTATGTGTGTATGAAGCTGTGTGCGTTACCGCAATCCTGTTCTGTCTGTCCTTCTCCTTCTCTGCTCTAACCCTCTGGATCTCAGCTCTCTCTGACCGACGACGCTCCTGATGGACAGCAAAGCAAAGAAGCCACAAAACATTTCTGAAACATTTAGATCGTAAAAAATAATTCAATCACATCAGACTTAAGTTTATATATATATATATATATATATATACACATACATACATATAAAAATGTATACATGTGTCATTATTTATTTTGTAATCCTCTAAAGGATTGCAAAATAAGTCTGAAGGGTTGTAAGATGATTCTGATACACAAATTTGTATAATTTTTCCTTTTCTGTGAAATATTGGATAGTTTGATGTCTGCATTGGCGTGGAGTGCTTTTATTTATTTTTATGAAACCATCTAAAGAGTCTAGAGGGTAACTATGTCTTTGGTGGAGCTGCTACCAACTCATAGACATCAGCAATGTGACATGGGGCCTTAAATACAGTATACATAGTTTTTGTAAGGGGGGACAAGCCAAAAAGCTGGAGGAACTCTAATTTGATCAATAACAATGCAATGTACTTATAAACTCATCATAGAGTTTGTATATAACTTGATCTGTAAACTATAGTGAGTACTAACAACAGCTGTCTGCAGTGAAATGTTAAATCTTTCTCAATCAAAATTGTATTTCAGTACAGTACTTGATTATACTGTATGTACTGTTGTACAGCCTACCACTGCTGTGACATTCAGAGCTTGGAAATGGCAATAAAACCATAATGTCAAAGTTCTGTTACCAGTGGATCAGGTGTTTAGTGTCCCATTCATGTTTCTTCACAGATCTAGAGAGAAGGTGTTACTACTGAGTGAACTTACAATTCGTTCCTTGAGGCCAATAAGTTCTTCCTCATCCTTCTTCCTCTGCTCGAAGTGGACATCAATCAGAGTATGCAGCTCCAGTAAGTCCTTTTCCATACGCTTTCTGTGGATGTCCTGATGGAACAAGGAACTAGGTTAGGTTTGCTACAATTGAAACGGATTATTTTACCACCAATACATCTGCTGTGTTCTGTGTATATTCAGCTCACGGGGGACCTAGATCGAAAATATTTGGATAAGATCTTATAAAAACCATTTGCAGCATTTCATTTGCCGCCATTTAACTGCTTGGATAGAAATAATTAGCAATAATAATATATGTTGTATGACCTAATTTTGATAGAATGATGTTAAGTTGTGGAAGTCTACCACCATGAAAGCTGTATTAAAGCTAGGAACTAGTATCAATGGAGCATAAAAACGTGATGGCGTGTGGGGTAATAAGACTGGAGATGTAGCAAAGCCATTTACAGCCTTGTAAGTCAGGAGGAGGGTTTTGAAAACAGCTAAAGTCATCTATGATCAAACTTTTTCAATCTTGTAAGGCCTCTCTTAAAATAAGTGTTGGATCAAAAATGATTTTCAATTCCTTGACTGTATGGCTCTGGGTATAAGAAGTTGTTACATATGCAACGATAGATTAGTGGATCTCTAGTTTCACAAGCTGGGAGGGTCAGATACATTACAGGAACGTAGATTTGTGTGTCGTCGGCAGCAATGAGAATTTATGTTGTATTTGTTAAAGGTGTGACCAAGTTACAAGCACATGTTTTGTCACTCAGATATGAGCTGAACCAGGTGAGCGCCATGACCTTCGGAGCAATAAGGTCTTCAAGAAGGTCCGGGATGGTGTTTAATCCACAGTGACACTCAGGTCTACCATCAGAATCCATAGCAATTCAAAAGTTGATCATCTCCCTATTCAGCAAAGTTTAGTGAGACGGAAACTGATCAAGCAGATTGCTACCAGTGAACTGTATAACAACCACCGTGGCTCCCAGATGTTTTATCCAGTTAGTCCATATAAGGAAGAAAATGAAATTAATCTTGTTTAATCCGCTTTTAGTGACTTACATCAAAATCGACTCTGTCCCCCTCCGGAATTTTTGGAGGGGCCAGTTGAGGCACCAGAGGTCTGGGGAGAGAGAGTATTTGAAAGATCAAAATAAGATCAGCAAGTCATTTTCAACTGAGGGGGGAAAAAAAGAACTACTGCAGTCAAATAGCAAAATAGAGTATACATACTTGGGTTTGGGGCGCTCCTCCTCTGTTGATGAAAGAGAGGAAGACAAGCACAAATAATGATCATGCGAGGGGATCCCTCAATGTGTGAGAGAGGACAGTTTGAAAATCTAAACGTTGTTAATGTGACTGAAAGCACAGCAAGCATGGGACTGAGAAAAGAAAAGGCAACATAAAATTAAGCAATTTTTATTAGTTATGATAAAACAAAAGAGCTGGGACAAAATGTTTAGCACCACAACACCTTGCACTGAGTACACTGAACTTCTGCACTGTTAAACTGATTACATTTATTAGGCCATTCTTAAAGGTTTTCTAAAAACTAAGAGAGGAAACCAAATTACTCCCTAAAGTATAGCTGTCAATATTTTGTTTCCTACATGATGGCTGTTCAAACCGTCGAGTTCAGTGGGATTTCCAAGAGTAGATCTAATTCTAGTTGTAAGTATTATACCTTTAGGGAACCAAACGTCTACTTTTTCTCACCTTCCTCCTGGGCATCTTGATCTGACGGACCAGCCACATAAAAGCAGAATGAAAGATGGAAGGAGGGTGACAAATATAACACGTGGAGCAACATAGGATTTGTTAATTATGGGTGAAAAGTAAATGAGGAAAGCAAGGGAATAGATATGGAGAGCAAGGAAGAATGGATGGGATGAGGAACGGGAGTAGGGAAGGAGGGAAGTCAAAACAGGTAAACAAGTGAAAAGGTAGGAAAGAAGGTGGGACAAAATGGTCCAAAACATAATGAAACACATACAGAAGTAAGACGTGAAGATGTAAAGAATCAAAGGAAGGGAAGAATCAACACACCAGAGGATCAAAGGACAAAAAGAATGGAAAAATAAAATGACAATAAATGATAAAAAAGACATGAGATATGGAGGGACCAGGTGTGGAATGATTAAAATAACTTAATATCTGACACTGCATAGGCAGCAAGCTTGAAGAAAAAAGATTTGGAAAGTATATTTATAGTATTTGCTTTCTTGCTGAGAGATAGATGAAAAGATCACTTCAACTCGTACCTCTTTACAATGAATATGCAGCTACTGCCAGCAGCCAGTTAACTTAGTCCTGGACACAGGGTACAGGCGGCAGCTGGCCTGGTTCTGGTTCTACAAGCACCTTTACACAACTTTAGAGGTGTTTGTAACCAGCTAGCTGTTTCCCCTTTGTGCTAAGCTAACTAGCTGCTGGCTGTAGCTTCATTAGGACATGAGAATGGTATCAGTCTTCTCATATAACTCTCGCAAGAAAGTAAACAAGAGTATTTCCCAAAACTGTTGCTACAAAACTATCACTTCCCATCATGCAACAAGAACCACACAATTAACTGGCATGAACAGCAGTGGCATTTTCTAATCCTTCATTATTATTATTATATAATGAACATTTAGATAATTTATAACTGTAGATTAAAGTGATCTCATTGGTTGAGTTAAACCTCAATAGGTGTGGCCAATAAATCACTATATCTCCATCTGATAAGACTTATCCCCCTTCCAAGACCTAGATGTGGTCTTAATGTTCATAAATGTATAGAAAACTATTGCCAGAATGCTTTGCAACTGTCAACCATCAACTATCTGAATGCTTTGCTCTGAAACATGTGGGAACTTTGGCCCTGGTCACTGAGAACCTCAGAGAACTTCTTGTATACAAGTACTCAAATCTGGTCTGTGGGTATACAATTAAATATTTCAGAACACATACAAAAGCTGCAACAGCTGCATAAATGAATAACACAAAACAGAAGATGAATATGATATTTCTTTCATCTTGGACTGGTCACTTCGGTGAACATAAACGCCAAAAGTTAGCCTTGACAGATGTAACTTTACTATGAATCCCAAAGCTGCTCCACTAACTTAGCTGCCTGCTGCTTCTGGAAATACGTTTGATGAGAGTAGAGTTTGTCAAAACCCAAATAATGAGCTTAAAAGGTAAAACATCCTGTGACTGCGAAAGTCCGCTGACTCAGGCTGCACCACTGTTTTGTTCCGTCCTCAGCCACAACGTCCACTGAAAGTGTCTCAGAAGTCTTTCATCAGAGTAGCCTGCTCATCATTAATGACTTCTTCACAGCTCTCTGTGAATCGGTTGTGTCCAGACGTCCGCTGCATATCCCACAGGGAGCATTTCAGAAACAGAGCGTTTCGCCTGCCTGCATGCTTACTTTTTGTGCTTCTACTATGTTTAAGTAGGCTACGTAGTTAAATGGTTTCTTCTTTCTGTCTGTTTTAATTGTGTTTATTGTTGTTTTATGATCACTGCACAGGGTGTTTTATTTTGAAAATTGACTTGATTCTCAATGCCGTTCTGTGCCTGACTTCCTGCCCAGTTCTGCTCTTTGTTGCTTGAAGTGTATTCCGTCAAAAATAGATTAGCTATGTATTCTCTGAAGAGCAGAGAGGAAAGCAGCATCTGGCTGGGACGTGCTGCGGCCATGTCTGGTGGAATCACAATTACTGACTAGAATTGCCGCGATTAGCTCCGGCAACCGTGGCCAGTTGTAACACGACAGGTGGATTCAGTGGACTTTGCGGGTAAAGTTGAGGGGAAATGCTCAGTTGGTTGATGTACGTGGATTCATCACTACAAGCAATCCCTTTCACATGGATGGGTCATTTGATCTATTGTTAATATAAAAAAATAAATGAGAAAAATAAAAAAAATTGGAATAAAACATACTGACTAAAGCAGACAAGACCATAGAAATATCACATTTGTTTTCTGTTTTTGGTCAAAACACAGGCTGCAAAAGCAGGCAATGAAAAAAGCCGTAACATGTTCACACCAACAAAGGCACGATCAACATGTCAGTGGACATATGCTCATGTATGTCTTTATTTTTTATTTTTTATCCTTGCACGTGGTACAGTAACAATCATATTTGGTATCAAAATCCAATGCAGGTGAAAGATCTATCTAGATTTTCTCTCTATTGGTGTGATTTTAAATCAGCTGCAAATAAACTTCTTCTCTTTGGCTTTGGTTTTACGGCGACTGGTCATGAATGGTGTCTAAAAGTGGGACTGATAATAGCTGCTGTCACCTTACCTTGGCACTCGTGATGCTCTGATAGCCCGAACCAGCACAGTTTCAGCCAATGGCAGAGCAGGGTAAAGGAGAAGTTGGTAGATCAGAGTTAGTACCCATAACTCACACACTTATGAAGAAGAGAGGGAACGATTGCTGTAGCTTAGAATAATAGCTTCTTTAGACAATAAGGAAAGACATGTATCTCTGTAAAAATACATTTATCATAATCACAACCCTTTAAACATGTTTTTTTGGATCATCTTTTCAACACATTTGACCAGTTTATCTCCTGACTTGCTATTTTGACATACTACCTAACCTTACCTTCTCCATCCTCCTCTGCCTGCTCCGTCTCCTCCTCCTGCTCAGGCTCGGCCTCCTGCTCCTCTTCAGCCTCTGCGAGAACGGAGACCAGGAGAAATGACTACAGTTTCATGTCCCATACACATCTTCATTGATGTTTGTGAGACACAAAGTGTGTGTCAGGTGTGGAACGTACCCTCTGCCAGCTCCCTGGAGAGACAAGGAACAGGAACAGAGAAACTTATATATCATTTAACATCACAAGTGATGCGTTTACAGTGAAATAAACACATGACAAGTGAGGGGATACTGCTCTACTCACGTGCACTCCTCTTCTACATCTGACATGGCTGAAATAAAGACAAACAAAGCACAATCAAATCAAGAAGATCACGAATGAATCAGTAGTACAAATCTCACGTACAAGAAAGCATCAGGAGTGCAGAACTGATGCAATGAAATATTCAGATGATTCAAAATGAAATAAAGGAAGTGGTTCTTTGGGGAAGTTGTCGTGAATTTTTATTATAACTAATCAATGGCAATGTCGATCTGTTTGTTGGTTGATTGTCCACCAGTTTGGTCCAGACTGAAGTATCTCACCATCTAACAGCTGTTGCCTGGATTACCAGGAAAACATAAAAGGTCCACAGAGGATGAAGCCTACTGACTTGATCCCTGACTTTTCTTCTAGCACCATCAAAGCTGATGAAAATCTCAGTTTCTAATGAAAAGAGTCATTGTGCTTTTGTAATGTGTTTCTGTGCTGCCCTTAAGTACATGAGTGAGTCATTGTCATTAAATTTCGGATCACACACAAAAAGGTGGCGAGTTGGGAGAGTTGAGTGAGAGTTGGGACCAACTCTCCTGTGATTAATCTCTCACTCTCACTCACACACACACACTCACACACACACACACACACACACACACACACACATGGTTTTGGCTGTAAATTTTCCCTGAGCTGCCATTACTGTGGCATAAAACCAAGCACAGACAGACAGAGTGGGTGTGTGCTGACGCCTTCCTGGCAGGGGACGCAGGAAGAATGATTGAGTGTCAGCATGTGAGAATGTGACAAGGGTTAAACGCAGAAAGATGAGGAGAGGTAAAGTTTCTGACTTTCTAGTTTACCATCTCTCTCCTACGTTCTCTCTGACCTGAACAAGTAAAGACAACTTTTGAACCACAGACTATATTTAAAAAAAGGTGTGAATGAGAGTGGCGCCAGCATGAACTTGGCTCTGCTTGATAGATGAGGGTGATTCATCACTAATTCACAAAAAAACATCGGCAAACTTGTTATTCTTGTCATCACCATCAAAGGGTGGCAGTGAACTATCATAAAATATACTCACTTTAACACAACGATCAGAAAAAACAATCAAACCTCCTACTCAGTCTTGGAGCTGAATCGCCACGATAAGCGTTGGGAAAAGCTTTTTGCAGCAAGCAGAACATAACTTCCTATCTAATCCTAAGAGTAGGTGCATGGTAACATAACACCTTCAACTGACAAGCAACTGTCAATCAACAATCTACCTACTCCACTCTTTCTACCTTTCTGTCATTAGGAAGAATTTATTGTGGCCCTGTGGCTGTTGAATTTATAGATGTGCTAACTGTCATCGAAAGCTTTGTCTTATCTCTCCTCTGACAGTTTGCCATGTCAGACCCAGCAGCTTGGCATAGCCGGACACCATCAGTCCATTCAACAACAAATCAATAACTCTCCAATCTTCCATGTGCTATTATTGATCCTCTCTCTGTTTGTGTTTAAAAAATGCCTCTGGTCTTAAATACAGTACTTACAATATCAGGTCACAGGGCATTTAAACCTTAGCCGTACCTCCCGTTGATCTTGGAAAAAGTGGGTTCAAATACTATGCTGCATACAAATGCAATGAGCTCCTAAAATATGAAGTCATACTCTTTTATTTCACTTGAACATTTTGAAAGGTTGTACTTGTTTATTTGCAGTCACACTTGTACATGCTTTGGTTAATTGTAAAAATGTATAACGTGTCTGTGTCTGTCTATGCACTCTCTTTAAAAAAAAGACACCCCAATCTCACTACCTGTTTAAATACTGTTTGATAATGTGTTTGCATATCAGCTAAAAGGTTATATAATGTTAGTGCTGTGTTCACAACTTCTTTCTGAACCTAAGTGACCAAAACAAATCTGTCAGAACGGGGCTTAGAGGAACTGGTGGGTGAATTTTGTTAGCTTTGGACAGAGCTGTTTCCTTCTGTCAGCAGTTGATGGCCTAATGATTCCTATAAAAGCAAAAGCAAAAACAAAAAAAAAGTGTATTTTCCAAAATGTTGGACTCTTTAAGGGGAGAAAACAGTATGGTGTTTTATGTAAAATGTGTATCTTATGTAAATCTCATATATTTATTTGGTATAAAAGTAGGGCAGTACACAAAGTATACACATGGGATCACAAGAAAAACACTTGGAGTCACTCCAGTTCTGTGGTCTTTACACATGGCTTCTTGTCCGTCAAAGTTGGTTTATAAGGCACTATGTTATGTTATGAACCATCCATGCTTTCAGTCCACAGAGTCAAAACTAAACATGGAGAAGCAGCGTTCAGTTTTTATGCTCCATATAAACAAAACCCCAGAAAACTGCAGGGCCACTGAAACTGTCAATTCTATTTACTGCTGCCTTTAGTTAAATCAAATTTAATGTAGATGAATAACTTACACTGCAGCTTTACTGACCTGTTTATTTTCTATTTAACTCTTTTAAAAATTGTATTTCAAAGTCTTTTTTTTATGTTTCCCTATTTTGCTTTTATATTTTATGTGAAACACTTTAATTGGCATGTCTATGAAGATTCTCAGTCATCCAGGTCATAGTTATCCAACGAAGGTTAAAATGAAGGGCAACTGGACTTGGTTGAAGCTACTGGAAGACGTTTCGTCCCTTATCCAAAGGACTTCTTCAGTTCTGACTGACTGGCAGGGAAACTCAGCTATTTAACCTCAGTGGGGTCGTTATCTCGGGTCATCGATACCGCTGGTTCGTTAGTGTTCCTTGTTGCTGTGACGACAGTCGTTACAGTCGTTAAGACTACCTGTGGCCAAGACTGAACGACCATCGTTGGTATCTTCACCTGAGGCCAATAGGTTACGTTTGTTGAGTTTCCTGGGAAGTGATGAAAGGACAGCATTGTAAGTGGGGGATAAGTGGTGGCGTAGACCTCCTCCCCTGTTCAATGACGGCTTCTCAACCCTGGTGTAGATGGCTTCCTTGACGCCTCTTTCAAACCATCCATCTTCTCTGTCTAAAATGTGCACCTGGTGGTCCTCAAACGAGTGTCCTCTGTCCTTCAGATGTAAGTAGACTGCAGAGTCTTGACCTGAGGAGTTGGCCCTTCTGTGTTGAGCCATGCGTTTGTGTAGTGGTTGTTTAGTCTCCCCAATATACAGGTCTGTGCATTCCTCACTGCATTGGATTGCATACACTAGATTGCTTTTCTTGTGTTAGGGTGTGCGGTCTTTGGGGTGTACCAGCATCTGTCTTAGTTGTCTGTCTTGCCATGTTGTTGAAATGTGCTATACAAATAAACTTGCTTTGCCTTTAATGCCTTGTTCAAAGCCTCTGTCAGAGTAATCTTAAATAAAGGCCTTATTTCAATCAAAAGGCATGTAAAGGTAAGATCAGAGTACATGAGGGATGGAGAGAATGACGGCTGGATGAATGAGATGTGCACATTTCAACACCTCTGTCGGAAACTGCCCGCTTGGAGCTAGATGGAGACAGGGAGGGGTGGATGAGTGAACCAGGGGATTTGGGAGAAGAGTCAAGTTCCAACAGGCAGCAGGCTCAGGCCTTAGCAGGGTTAATTTTAGTCAAGGGCAGCATGTGTGTGTGGGGAGTGAGGGAGAATGGGTGTGCAAAAATACCTTGTGCGTTTTAAAGAGATGCTATTGTAGTCTATTAAAAGATTGTAGAGAAAAGAGCAGAGAAGGTCGGTCTGTAAAATGATTTTGATAAAACTCCACTGCACAAAATGAGAAGCCACGCATTTCTTTATTCTGTGTGGACTTTTTAAAAAACACGCTAGCAGTGTATTTCAGTTTACAGCTAGTTAGCTCAAGTAAATTAAATGGTTAGTCAGAATTGGGTAATGTCTATTTATGACTCTAAAAAAAAACTGTTTGGGAAAATTAGCCCAAAATAAAAATAGCCTGTGTTGCTTGATGTAAAAAAACTTTAGAAATGACTGATATGGATGAAAATGCAACACTCACAAGGCAACAAAAGAGGAAGTTCGCTAACCAGACGACAAACTGTGAACTTGATACTTACCTGAACTTGCCAAATGTTCAACACACACACTTTACCAACTGCATAGATTACATTTGTGGATGGAGACACCTGTTTAGTACCCTCTACTTTCCTCTGTGTGCTAAAGTTAGCTAGCCTGACCTCAGGCTGTTAGCATTTGTGTATGTGGTTGGCAGTGACCATAGAGGCAAAGGAACAATGTGAAGTGTGGTAGGCCACACACACGCGCACACTGAACTCACAAAAGCCTAATTAGCAGACCTTCAGATCAGACCTTTGATGGCTAGCTCTAAAGAAGGAAATGCAAGCTAGCTCACAGTGCTGTTGTGTCTATGATTTAGACCATTTCCTGAATGATTTTATGAGGGCCTTTCAGACTAAGAATATGGACATAGTTTGACACAGTGTGGACCTCTCATCAGGAGAGTTTTAGTCCTCATCCTGTGTCTGAGCTACAGAATGAAGCCCTAACCTATGGCAAGTGTGAAATAAAAACATATTATAGATTTCTGCTACCACTCGAATAAAGTGGGGGCGAATGGATTTTTTTGTTCTGCTCAAAGCAGGAAAATTGTGTGATTTGACGACGTCATCAGCATCTGCTTACTAATAGATAATACACAGCACACTATAGAAAGAACAAGGACTTTGTGTCTGTAGGGAAATGGTATTCATCATATTCAGTAACATTCACCTACATGGTGTAGGAGTAGCAGCAGACGTTTGAGAAGCAGAAATCAAAAAACCTGAGAACACTATGCAGAAACCCTTGGCATGACTAGATAACGGTAAGTGAGAAAATAGGATCCTTTAACTACAGTAGACTTTTCTCAAGACAGACTGTTTATATACAGCTTTTACATGTATTTATTTATTTAATGTATTTTCAATGGAAATGTCAGGGAACTGATATTCAGCAGTAAGCAGATTTCATTGACAAAAAGGCCCATTATGTTCAAGGTAGCCATTGATTTTCATTAATTTTATAAAATCAATTTGACTTGACTTGATTGAGATTGATGGGAGGCACGGTATTGACACACTATGAAATTGCTAAATCAAGCTCAGCAGACACATATGTAATATTGGACAATCCTTAAAATACAGTATTATTTGGTTGAACTTTTTATATTAAAAGAGTTGCTGATTGGCTCGTCCCTGAACATCCTTGAAAGAACTTCAAAGCAGTGACAAAACTTAATCCATGCAACAGTGTCCACAGGGATGGATGACACTGTGGTGAATCGTACAGAAAAAAAAATCATACATTACTCTTTTTGTTCACTATGACAACAAAACCTACAGAGGACACGTACCTGTATGAAGGTGTGCTATCCGCAGAGACAAGAGACAAGCAGAATGGATATTACAGAAACAGGGGTCATTTTATATAGAGAGATGGAGGGGCACTGTGTGTGTGCTGTCTGAATGATGTGTGTCAACATGCTGTGAGAATTAGTGCCCTGAGCATACAATACAAGAATAACTGTGAGTCTGTGTGTGCAAATGTGCAGATTTGTGTGTGTGTGTGTGTGTGTGTGTGTGTGTGTGTGTGTCAGGGCTGGAGGCCACAGGCGGATTAAGCGGAGGCAGAAAGATGAGCACCTCGCAGGATTAAGGAGAACAGAGGGATGACCTCACCGGACAAATGGGGGTTGCTACAGGGCAGGAGTGAGATGACAAAATGAAGAGGGAGTGACGAGTGGAGGGAGAGAAAGCTTGCAGGGAAAATCAGGCAGAGAAAGCGGCGACAAACAGTTTGTAACAGTACAGTTTATTAAAAGACAGTGGAAAGTTAATATATTTTAATTCATTAAAGCTGCCAAAGACCCAACAAGCTGTGGTAAGTAGTTAATGAGAACTACAGGTAGCAGAGCACCGGTGGGTCAGACAGAGCTGAGGAAGGTCTGGACGACCAGAGGATATAACAGGAAGTGAAACGAAGGAGCAGAAGGTGTATCAGGACTAATTAGACTAGAATAATTAACATGGAACAGAGCACAAAAGGGAAAAAAGGACAAAGATATAGAAATATCAAATAGTGCTAAATAGCCTAGTACAGTACCAATGAGTTTCAGCAGCTGTTACTACAAAGAAGAACATCCACAGCTAACATCAGAGTTCTAACATCATGGGCACACACTTTGGGAAGTATTCTTGCTTTCTTTCCAAGAGTTAATTTGAAAATTGAAACCATGTTCAAGTTTACCGTAAATGCGAAGCTAAAGTCAGCAGCAGACAAATGGCTTAGCTTAATTCGACTGGAAACAGGCAGCCTGGCTCCGTCCAAAGGTAATAAAATCAGACTACCAGTACCTCAAGCTCTCTAACTAACACATCACATCTTTTAACAGAGCCATGCAGTCTTTTTCCTGCTATTTTCTTTATGGAAAGCTATGTGGCTGCGGACAATGGCTTCACATTTGGGAAAATTTGAATGGCTAAAACTGCAGCAACCCGGTGCCGGAGTGACCAAAAGCATGTTCTCTGAAAATGTTCACCATAAAGGATATAATTTGGGAAATGATATGTTTTATGGTGTAATAATAAATTATCCTTTATAATTACAGAACAGTAAATTTTAAAATGGATGGATTTAGCAAATATCAAGTAAAAGACCTAATGTACAAAAATAAATATATATATATATATTCAGGGTTTACACTGAGATAACATGAGACAGATTAGATGGCTAAAGCCTACCAAAAACAGGACACATTTGGTTTATTTAACGAGATAATGTAGAGTGAGAATAACGAGACAAATTGCCAATCTATGTTTGGAAAGCAGGAACGTTTGAGTTCACATGATAGTAGTTAATGATTCCAAACATCTGCAGACCACACGAACATATTCATATTTTGGAGGAAGAGGCCACAACATTCACAAACATAGGAAAGTCCTAGAATATCAGTTTTCTCTGATGGTTAACAATAAAGTGTAACAAGTGGCCTGAAGTACCATCTTCCTCTTTGTGTTTTGTTTATGTAGTGTATTGACTAAATAGGAATGAAAAACGTGACATGAGAGTAGTATCGATTGTCTTACCTGACTCTCAACAAGAAAGTGACTTGTGATTAGTGCAGCTAAAAAATTAATCGAACATGTTCAAGATCCTGTTTAAGCTCAATTACTGCAAAGATTTTGGGAATCACGGTCCACTTATCTGTCGACTTTGTTTTTTTCCAGACGCCAGAATTGCTCATTTGTTTTGCTTGTGATACAACCAGGAAAGGTTCCATGATCATCTGTTCAGGGAATGCCAGTCTCAATCTGAAAACAGACCAGTCAAGATAATCTATGAAAGACGTCGGCCTTTTGGACCTACCTACTTCCTCACAAGAGCACAGTGTGCCAATCAGATGTTCAATCTGATGCTCAGCAACAGTGGGAAGAGAGAGACAAAAGAAATGTGAGGGAGGGGGGAGACAGACACAGCTATGACCAAATCAGATCCAGATTTAGAATAGGGACTGCTTCACTTGTTCTCTTTTTCTCACGAAAGGGGAGGTTTCCAGTTTACAGGAAGAGCTCCACAACAACCTAAACAACCCTTCATCTCACGGTCCACTTGGCATAAAGACCACATCATGTGGTTACTGTCCCCAAGGCCAAAAATAACCTCACACACCTTCCCCATGACTTTACTGACTGTATATGAAGCAAAATATGCACTCCAGTTTAAATTCTTTTCACCACAAGAATGTGTTTTCATTCATTTTTACGACCAGTGAACATAATTGTAATAACTCAGCCATTTTAATTGGCCACATCTCTCTTCTGTAGAGATGCTCAGTGGCCAATGGGGGAATGTACAGTACATACCAAAATAAAAAAAACTTGGTTAAAGGATTTTTATGGCAAAAGTCATCACAATGTTTTACTTCTCTCATCAACACAAAAATAATAAAAGAAATTTTTTTATTCAAATCAGTTGTACATTGTTTGACCATAAAGCTAATATTTGGATTTGACTGCTTATGTCTGATGCTCCCTGACAATGCCTGTTTCTAGTAACAAGGCTGGGAAACTTTTGAACATTAAGTCCAGTCCAGTAGTCTGAGAGCGGATTTATACCACCCAGAAAGCTGACAAGAACAAACACATAATTGCTTTCAGAATTTTGGACCCTTATTAGGGATTTAAGACATGAATAAAAAAAAAACACAGAAATGTGACTTTATAAAAACCCTTTTATTATGACAGCATCATTTTTCAACAATATTCATAAATAACTGGACATTACTTCTGTAGTTTCATGAAGATACCACAGGCATTGTCACTGTAAGGATCTGGGGAAAAGAAAACAGGAACAAAGTGTACAGTATGGTAAGAGACATAAAGCGTGTATGTGTTTGTTTAGTATGTCAGTGCAGCATGTGTTGCTGATGCATTATTTCTGTACAGCTGTTTACACGTCAATCCCATACCCATTTTTGTTGGCAGTGTTTGCGGTGCATTGGTGCTACAGTGTGCGGTACATACTATATCCGTGTGTTTATGTACCTGAGTGCTGTTGTTGTATTGTGCCACACTGTTCTCCTGGTCAACGAGGAAGGGATGGAAGATGTCGAGATGGAAGAGCGAGGGCCGAGCCGTCAACACCAGTCGGTCCTCCCCCACATCCAAAACCAGAGAGCGAGACGACGGCTGCACAGGAGACAAGTTAACCCAGCTGAGACTCTACCATGCTGAGCTTTTCACTGTCTCTGCACTTGTCAATGATGTGCTGTATAAGATGTGATTATCTACAACTACACATGATGACATCAAATGATGACAACATTTTTACACTGATCAATAAAGTGCGACAAGCAGAATTTATTTAAAATGATTAAGTCAACATATAAATGAGAAACTGCAATTAAGTTTATTCTGGATTATAGACGTTTCAGATTTACTGTCTCTGTATGGCCCCTGAATTTTATTTTCTAGACTGACAAGCTCAAAAGTAAGTAGAAAACCCATCAGATTCACTCCAGAATGAGGTAAGACTTAATGATACACTATTAACAAACTTATGATACATCGCCTGCACGCCTCTGTGCACCATTGTTACTGTGCATTAGCCTCTCCGGAACATGCCCTGGCAGGTGGATTCTCTCTGTTGCCATCTGGACGTCGTCATGCACTAGCTGCGTGCAAAACGAGCCGCACCCCCAAATCTTTTATCCCTTTGGGGATCAGAATCTTGTAGGGTCCTTTATGGGGTTTCAAACGTGCACGTACTGGCTAATTGTATGTTGTGTTATGTACATTTATCTATTTACATTTATAACTAGTTGCCCTAGGGCAACATGCATCTAAGACAACAAGAAGCACTGGGGATTAATAAAGTTTTTTGAACTGAATCAGATAGTCTACGAGTTGCTAAAGCTAATTTTTTGAAACTAGGTCTCAATAGTGAATTCACAAAAGACGGATTTTTATTTCAAACCGTGGATTTTAACAACTGATATGACAACTGTAGCTAACAGATTTTTTTTTTTTGCTGCAGCTAATGCTAAAGCTAAAACTCCCCCCAGCTGATTTTTTATGTTTTCAGGTGGTTCATTTTAAAAAGAGTGCCCTGTAAATAAGAGTTATGAGATCATGCAATAAGACTGAGGCTAATGCTACATGTAGCAGGCAAAAAGTCAGCAACCCTTTCAGCATGAATAAGACATGTTTGTGTATTTCAGTGTAAAGCTATTTAGCCTTTGTAGTATAGAACATAAATCTCTGTAGGTTGGGAGGTTTACTAAGAAGGTAACATTCCTGAACAATATGCAATACAGTGTTTAAATTTAAGTTGCAATGTTCATATTTTCAAACACTCTAAACTCTGATACACTAGCATTTGGCTACAGACTGGAGTGAACAGCTATCTGTCTAATGTAACCTATAACACCACAAACTACTCGAGTTCCAGCCACAATTGATGTTTGAGGGTGCGGTTCAACAAGAATGCAGTTGAAAGGTTTGTAAAACTAATGCTTTCTGCTCTAATGTCTAATCTCCCCCTTGCAATGTTTCCAACTGAACCTCAAACAGAAAATGCACAAAAATGTTACACTAGGTTTTTTCCTACTTGACAATCTCAATGAAAAAAAATGTACTCATCTCCTCTGCTTTACAAGAAAAAAGCTACTTTGTATACCAAGAGAAAAAAAATACATCATCACAAAATATCTCTAAAATTGTCTGGCTATGAAACTTAAAATCACTCATTAATAATTTGGTTGCAGGCCTTTTCGACCTATTATGTGTCATTGGTTTTAAGCGTTTTCCCTTAAACCCTGCTTCTAAGTCAGATTTCCTCAACAGGGCAGTCAGATTTAAATGAATCAGATTTGTATTTGATGCAAATGATAAAGGCGGAAGAGACAAGAAAGTGTTTATGCATGTCTCACCACCCCAGGTAGCATTATTTCAGCAATGAGGTACTCAGGGTCGCCATCAGGGGGCTCCACAAGCAAAGTGAACTCTGGTCTAGAACAGAAAGGTGAGTGAGGATTGAATGATGAGACAAGGGAGACAAAAAATAAAAAAATAAGGAAGTAAGAAGAAAGGGGTTATATAAAAACAACAAAGCATATATTTAAAACAGACAAGGAAAATGCAGGATTGAAAAACAAAGAAAGACAGTGAGATAACATTTAAGATACGGAAGAGGTTTACCGTTTGGCCGTAGCAGTGGAGCTCTCCCTGTAAAAGGGAAAGAATGGGAGATATAATCATCTCATGCAATCACTAAACACACTCATCATGAACTCACAGGACATCACCCCATCTCATTGTTACTTTGAAAATGTTTTAAAAGGTCTGAAAATGTACACGTTTTAAACCTTTGGCATAATTGAACACACTTGATTTAATCTAGTCCTCATATTATTCTGCACTGCAGGGCAGGAAGAGGCTCATACTGGCAGCTGCAAGTATAATGTCCCCAAGTTTCCAAGTTGGGGGAAAAATTTATGCGTTTTCCTGTGGACTGTGCTCTGCAAGCTGGTGTGTGTCTGAAAGTGTCAGTCTCACCATCCATCATTTCAAAGAGAAAAAAAAAAAAATATATATATATACATATATATACACACACACACACACACACACACACACACACACACACACACACACACACACACACACACACACACACACCACACCACTCTCTGTACGGTTCCCCCGTTTTAAAAGTTTGACAGTTTTGCGGTGCACCCAGTTGAACCCCTTAACCCACAATGAGCCAATGAAGTACCGGGAAGTCGCTAATGGAGCTTGGTCAACTGCATTTGAGACTGCAATCCGCCAAAAAAAAGCTGGACCTTATTGTACAGAGCAGCCCTGAGGGCACGTTTCAATGGGATGACAAAATGTTTGGCAGATTTATCGTGTCCGGATGTTTAAAAAAAAAAAAAAAAGCTTTGGAGTTAGATTCAATGCTCCACATGCTGGCAACAGGAAGTAAGCCTCGTGGACAATCATTTGATTTACGCAAAATTGTGATTGGGTGGTCTACACCACATAGTGGACCGAGTACACTGAAAGATGTCAGAATGTGTGGTTGTTTTGTTTTCTCTGGGTGGCCCGTTATAGGCTCCAAATGTCATTTATGTTTTCAGTTCACAAGTACATTCAGACAGAGAGACAGTAAGAGGGACGTACTGAGGCTTCAGTTCTTGAATCACGGGCCTGCTCTTTGTCCGGATGTTCTGCTCGCTAACAGAACCCAAAAACTTTCTGTTCTTCAGCACCTTCCAGTCTGCAGGAACACAAAAAGGAATATTAAGAACTGCTACCAACATGAAAGGAAAGTTCACACACACACAAAAAATCAAAACACTTACCTCGACTTAGCTCCAGATTATATTTGTTCTCCAAACCCTCCATAGACACAAGAATGACAAACTGCTGGAACAAGGGATCCTTCTATAAGACACACACATACACATTTCATTTTACACATTAAAAGGTTCATTTGTTATCACTGAGCATTATTTTGCAGCAACACTGTTGATCAAGTGTAGAAAATTAAAGAAGATCAGCACATTGCAGATGATGCAAAAGAACACCACATAGCAATGTTGAGATGGAGATTTTAGGTTTTATTGTGTTTGCCTTTCTATTATAGGCCTATGTTTCACTATGTTGCAGCTAGGTTAAAGCAGTTGTCATGGGAAAGTAGATCTGAGATTGCTGCCGGCTCATTCCTTGTTGAACATGGACCGACTAAGGACTTACATAGTCTAATCAGAATTGTCAAGTCTTGCCTATCGTCAACTGAGTCGAATCATGTACTGTGGTTGTGTGCGGCGATTGCAAGCGGGGGGTGGTAACACACGGTAACTCCGCTTTAGTCTTTAAACTGTACATTTCCAGCCAAACTGAGTCTTACTGTTGACCCCTTTCTCTCTGCTTGACTGCCATTCACCAGTCTTCTGCAGAGTTTTGCATGCATGCCGTGGTTCCTCACGGGTCTATTCAGTACTATTTAAAAACGATGCAATATTCTTTGTGTGGTTCATCAATGGTGATAAATGATCTCAACGTCCCGCGGGGTGCGGACAACTTGGCACAACAACGGTGAAGTTAAGGCTCCGTCTCTACAGCAAGTTCCTCTTCTGCTACTACACACTCATACACGACTATACATGCGCACTGCCCCCTACCTTGAGGGTTATCAATTTTACACACAGAGCAGAGCGTCACCCAGAATGAACTAAACAACAGTTCAAATTGAAATCTCATGCTGTCTCTCAAATCTCATGACTGATGTGATCTTCTGATGGACTAAACTAACATCATGTAATAAAATACTGTTTTGTTGTTGTTGTTGTTGTTGACTTTTTGGCTTTCCCCCTGCTAAACAGGAGCAGCGGCCACAGCCTAATAACTGACACTAACTGAAATTCTTCCTTTCTTACTTAGCCTTCATAGAAAACTACAGCGCGTGATGTAAAACTCTTAACTGTATAACTGATGAAATTTTGTGGCAGTAAAAATGAAAAGAAAGGCTACTTTATTCCATGCCAGACATTGTAAGCCAATCCTAGAGCCCTATAAAAATTTGGGGTCCTCAGTTCACATTCCAAATGAATGAGGCCCACAGGAAACTAGGACGCGCTGAGGAATAGCCTGCTTGTTACTTCAAGTAAAGCAAATATCACACAAAAGTAGTGGAGGGCATCAAAGCGAAACGAGAGATATGTGGATTCTCGTCAATCAATGTAAGCAGGTCCCAGAACCATTTGATGATTTCTTACCTGCTGTCCATTATAAAGCAGTGTAATAGATAAACAACAAGGGTATAGCGGGCAGGCTTGAGCCTGAGTGTACGCAGCTACACTTCAGTAGGTGTATGGCTTTAATATTGTGAGAAATAACAGGAAGTCATTAGCGCAAGCTTAGTGACGGAGTGTTCGGGTGCAGTTATAGCATACAGCCTCTGAGTTAAACCAACACAGCTGCTGGTTTATAAATCCAGCACCAGCTGCTTGTGTAAAATACAGCAGCTGTGGATGAGGAGGTGACTGCAAGACATTGTATTTAAGTTTATGTTCTGCTTGGCTCAACAGTTGTGGCTATTAGACACATTCGCAGAGGATTAGAAAGGTTGTTTGTCAATTCTGATCATTTTGGCCCTGAGGATTTTCCTTTGGCGCTTGCCAAAACCTCATTCGGGGGCGCCAAAAATTTCTCTATGCAGGAAAAACCCTGTAAAAGTAATATTGTGTCATTCATTCTTCTTCTTTTGGCCCATTCCTCCATGCAGATCTCCTCTAGAGTAATGATGTTTTGGGTCTGTCGCTGGGCAACACAGACTTTCAACTCCCTCCACAAATTTTCTATGGGGTTGAGGTCTGGAGACTGGCTAGGCTTTTTACGGAGCCACTCCTTCGTTGCCCGAGCAGTGTGTTTGGGATCATTGTCATGGTGGAAGACCCAGCCACCTTCCATCTTCAAGGCTCTCACTGATGGAAGGAGGTTTTGGCTTAAAATCTCACAATACATGGCCCTGTTCATTCTTCCCTTAACACGGATCCATTTTCCTGTCCCCTTTGCATAAAAACAGCCGCTAAGCATGATGTTTCCTCCCCCATGCTTCACAGTAGGTATGGTGTTCTTGGGATGCAACTCTGCATTCTTCTTCCTCCAAACACGACGAGTTGAGTTCTTACCAAAAACTTTTATTTTGGTTTCATCTGACCACATGATATTCTCCCAATCCTCTTCTGGATCATCCATATGCTCTCTGGCACACTTCAGACAGGCCTGGACATAAGCAGGGGGACACACCTGGCGCTGCAGGATTTGAGTCCCTCTCGGCGTAGTGCGTTACTGATGGTAGCCTTTGTTACTTTGGTCCCAGCTCTCTGCAGGTTATTCATCAGGTCCCTCCGTGTAGTTCTGGGATTTTTGCTCACCGTTCTCATGATCATTTTGACCCCACGGGATGAAATCTTGCGTGGAGCCCCAGATCGAGGGAGATTATCAATGGTCTTGTATGTCTTCCATTTTCTTACAATTGCTCCCACAGTTGATTTATTCACACCAACCTGCTCGCCTCTTGTAGATTCACTCTCCCCCGCCTGGTGCAGGTCTACAATTTTCTTCCTGGTGTCCTTCGACAGCTCTTTGGTCTTGGCCCTGGTTGAGTTTGGAGTCTGACTGTTTGAGGCTGTGGACACGTGTCTATTATACAGATAAAGAGTTCAAACAGGTGCCGTTAATACAGGTAACGAGTGGAGGACAGAAGAGCTTCTTAAAGAAGAAGTTACAGGTCTGTGAGAGCCAGAAATCTTGCTTGTTTGTGGGTGACAAAATACATATTTTCCACCATAATTTACAAATAAATTCTTTAAAAAGCCTACAATGTGATTTCCTGGATATTTCTTTCTCATTTTGTCTCTCATATTTGAAGTGTACCTATGATGAAAATAACAGACCTCTCATCTTTCTAAGTAGGAAAACTTGCACAATCAGTGGCTGACTAAATACTTTTTGGCCCCACTGTATGTGTAAAATCTATGTGTATGTATGTATGTGTATGTGTATGTGTGTGTGTGTGTGTGTGGAGGCGTTCTGCAGGGACACAGAGGAGGGGAGAGGCTGCAGGTCGGATTGTTGAGCCTTGATTGGCGTTGATCGGTACAGCGCATGTGAAACTCAACAAAGATGAGAAGGAAACGATTTAGTTCACTCTTTAGCTACTTCCATTTACATGTAGTTAATTTCCGTTGTCGATTATAATGTCACCACGATTTCCCTTTTTTAAAGAGATCATTAGTATTGTGCTACAATGCACAGTGTATCAGTATAGTTCTGTGGCTACACACGCAGTTGACAGCTGCTCTGTCAACATCGCAAGTCAGCTGCCTCGCTGCCTGCGTCTTACGCTTACTACAAAGGCAGCACTGCAACTACTAGGCATCATAAAATTAACATTAAAGTTCGCCATGTTCCCCGGCTGCTCTGTCTCAACTATCTGTGATTTACGGAGTTTGGTGATGATAAACAGAATGTGTTACTTGCTGCTAAAGTAACCGCTAACCACGGCTAACTAGCTGCTGTGCTATAATTAGTTCAGTTAGCCTAGGAGTCATAGCTGACTCGGCCCAGACTGGAAGCTTGGAGCACCTGGGGAGTGTATTGTGTTTAACATTACATCTCTACTCAAGCACCGGAGGTTTTAGGCCAGGATAATGTCAGCGAGCGGGTAAAAAAAACCACACTCAGCAGCCTCCCAATAAACATGGCATGAACAGGACCGAGCACAACCTCAAAGACCAATAGGGAACACAATACCGAGGTAATTTACAGAGTTCCTTGATGAACAGATAGAATTACTTTTTGCTAAACCGCTAAGTTAACTGTATCCGTCTATATCTGTAGCTAGTTAGCTCGGTTAGCCACGCTGCTAGCTGTCCTATTAGTTGAATCAGCCCCAGGGGACCAAGAGCCAAATCCGGCAACAAAACCACCTTGGTCCTGCATTTCTTGTCATCAAACTGGACTCTGTCTGTCTAACATGCATGTTAGCATGTTTGATTCTATTCGGCCAAATTCACTCCACGGTGCCCGATTGACCAATACTTATCGGATCAATAATTATGGTGCATCCCTGAGCTTGACTTTGTTGCCTGCCTCAATTAACGCTATGCTTGATTTGCATGCAGCAATCACTTGGCCCAGGACCCATCGTGGGGAACCGTAGAGGTAGAGTCCTTTGCGCGGGGCATACACTACAACTGGGCATTAACAGCGCATTAAAGAAAGATCCTGTGTGTTGCACTATTGCTGCAAGGTGCCTTGTTTCACACTTCGGAAAAAGTGCAAAGGCCACCACAGCAATTGCAGAAAAATAAGACATCAGAATGTAGCCCAGCACAAAATGGTGCAAATAGTGCTCCTTGCTGGAATTGTGGCTATCTGAAGCTGTCACCTGTTAGAGCAAAGAGGGCCAGTTTTCAGCTGTGCTGACGGATTCAAGTTTCAGCAAACGGTCCGACAGTGATCTAGAGCTCACAACATCCCAGAGGAGAACGGCAGAGTATATAATCAATGTTCTCAAGCCAATGATAACACTGACAGAGCTGTCTGGCACTATTCCGATGCTTATGAACATTAAGAAACAACAATTGGCGGTGCATGAAGATGACCGCGCTGTTACCAAAACCCTCAAGACTACACTGAGCATACTGACAGACGACGGGAGCTCAAAGACCGTCTCCTGGAGAGCAGTAGTTATAGTACAGCTGCTGTTCTTGACCCACATTTCAAGAACCTTTTGTAATTGTAAAAACAAATTTATGTCAATGTCCTTAATCAATGCCTTTGTTGCCACTCGATTGGATTACTGTAACGCACTCAGTGGGTACTCTATTGCTCGTCTCCAGATGGTAGAAAACGCTGCACCGCATCTTTTAACTGGAACACGTAAACACAAGCTCATTTCCCCCATTTTAGCCTCACTCCACTGGCTGCCTGTACATCATAGGTTCCATTTTAAGCAATGTTTGCCATACGTTAACAAGACAATGGCGGCCTGCAAATAACCAATATACACAATCAAAACAGATAAAATAATAAACAATTTAACTACGTAACTACATAGCCTACTTAACCAAAAGACGAAGAAAAGGTGGCTATCTCAACACCAGGCCATTGAGATACTCCAAAGGAATCTTCCAGCTGTGCTTTCCACATTGGCAGAGGAGGCAGAGCTTAAGCGATGCCCGGTCGCCAAGGGCTTGTATAGCTTTTGTGCGACCTACAGGTTTGTGGCATCGGTTTACCTCCAGGCTGACATATTGCCACATCTTGCATGGCTGTCAAAATCTTCCAACAGGGAAATGTCAACTTGCTTCACATCAAGGAGCAGGTTTGTTATGAAACAATTAAAATAGGCTGGCCTCGGGGAAAAACGCTTTGGTGGACATCTATATATCTATCTATATCTCTATATCTCTATATCTCTATATATCTATCTATCTATCTATCTATATATATATATATATATATATATATCTCTATCTATCTATCTCTATATATATATATATATATATATATATATATATATATATATATATATATATATATATACCTGAGTATAGATAAGATATAGATAACTGCAGGTCTGCTGAAACTGTCAGTTCTTTTAAATTAAGACTTTTCTTTTTACCATTGCTTTAAATTAAATATTTAAATGAGTAGGTAATTGAGTGAAAAGATAATGAGTGAGATTGAACAGAGTGAAGGAAGTGGTCTTAAATCTCACGCCTGAGTGATTTGCAGGAACCTCTGTCCACCTGTAAACGCGCAGGTGGGTCCAGAGTATAACTGGATCAAAATGGCCTGCGGCTATTTTTTTAAATTATTTTTTTTTTTTAATTCTGTTTTTATTTTCTATTTCACCAAAATTATATTTTAATGTGTATTTTTTCAATTGTCCTATGTTGCTTTTATTTCTAATGTAAAGCACGATCCCTCCATCAGTGCTTAGACTGTCTGCAATAGGCTGAGAGAGGCCGGACTGAGGGCTTTTAGACCTGTTGTGAGGCAGGTCCATAACATACATCACTTGCAACCTATGAGCACAAACCCACTTTTGCTGGACCAGACAGGACTGGCAAAAAGTGCTCTTGACTGACGCGGTTTTGACTCACCAGGGGTGATAGTTAGACTAATGCTGTGATTTACAGGAAAGATATCCTCCTCTGTCATGTGGTACCCTTGAGGGCTAGGGCAATTCCCCCCAGAAATGTACAGGAAGTTGGCATGTGCTTTGGTGGAAGAGTGGGATAACATCTCAGCAAGAACTGGCAAATCTGGTGCAGTTGATGAGCAGGAGATGAACTGCAGTACTTTATGCAGCTGGAGGCTACACCAGATACTGACTGTTACTTTTGATTTTGACCTCCCTTTGTCCAGGGACACATATTTCAATTTCTAGGACCCTTGTTACGGCTGCCACTGTTTGTATGTGTTTAACTGTCACTGTTTGTAGTGATCTCCTTTTGTCATGTTGTTTTCAATTGTTTACGTAGCCCCCCAGCCTCTCCATAGTCCTTTGCATTTTTGGTTTTGAGGTCTCATGGATGGTGCTGTCTTAAGAGAACGCTCTTTTAGTTGTGTTAGCACGTGCAATAGTAAATCAGTGAATTATAGTTATTATAATTAATATAATAATATAATTAATATATAATTAGAGAGTCTTCTTTAGTATTTTCCTTCTGGTGCTGATACTAGTGTTCATTCTGAATAGTGAACCTTGTTCCCAAAATTGCTGTTTGGGAGAGGGGTTTAGCAAACAGGCAAATTATCTCAAAGTGTTATTTATGTTTTGTTTCTCCGATTACGATATCAGCTTCAATACTGCAGCTAATTTTAACATGGCTAAGCGGCATTATTTATTTATTTATTTATTTTTTCCCCCACATATACGGACTTGCAGAGGTTTCTGCAGTTTGTCAAAAAATAAATGCAATTCTGGTTATGGATGTGACAGACATTAAATACATAATTCCAAAAAATGTACTTACTTTGTACTTAGGTTGACCTCCTCTCTCCTCTACTTTCTCTCCCTCTGTATGCAACCTCATCCCATTATTGCATGTTACTAACACAACTTCTCCCCTTTCTGGTAGTCTTGTGCTTTCTCGTCCCTCTCCTCTCTCCTCCTATCACTTCCTGCAGGTTTTCTGGCTCTGGAGCTGTGGAGTCTGGATCTGTGGCTGCGGGTCACCTGCTGCCCCCGTGTTCCTGCTCAACACCCTATGCTGCAACGACTATTGTTACTAGTCCTACTGCTATTATAATCATTAACATTACGACTGTTACCATTAACACTACTATAAATATCTGTACCATTTTTCATTTAGTCTATAGCAACACCACCTTTACTGTCTGTACCTCTGTGTGTATATTGTGTAGGCCCCCCTCTCTCTCTCTCTCTCTCTCTCTCTCGCTGTGAGATAACTGTTGTTGTGATTTGGCGCTATATAAATAAAATTGAATTGAAAATTATACATGCATGTAAATATAAACATTCACAATACATCCCAAGCAACTATAACATCTCTACCAATCCTCTTCACTTTATATATGCTTCCTTTAGGCAATATTATCTGGAAACATTCCATAAGCTTTCATTGTTATGCAGATGATACTCAGTTATATCTATCGATCAAGCCAGATGAAACTCATCAGTTAGCTAAACTTCAAATGTGCCTTCAGGATGTTAAAACCTGGATTACCTGTAATTTTCTAATGTTTAACTCAGATAAAACTGAAGTTATTGTTCTGGGGCCAAAGCACCTCCGTGACGCATTATCTAAAGATATAGTTTCCCTGGATGGCATCGCCCTGGCCTCCAGCACCACTGTGAGGAATCTTGGAGTTATCTTTGATCAGGACATGTCGTTTAAGTCTCACATTAAGCAAATTTCAAGGACCGCCTTTTTTCACCTACGTAATATTGTGAAAATCAGGAACATCCGGTCTAAAAATGATGCAGAAAAACTAGTCCATGCATTTGTTACTTCTAGGCTGGATTACTGCAATTCTTTATTATCAGGCTGCTCTAAAAAGTCCGTTAAGACTCTTCAGCTGATCCAGAATGCTGCAGCACGTGTTCTGACAGGAACCAGGAAAAGAGATCATATTTCTCCTGTTTTAGCTTCTTTGCATTGGCTTCCAGTAAAATCCAGAATAGAATTTAAAATCATTCTTCTTACCTACAAAGCTCTTAATGGTCAGGCACCATCTTATCTTAAAGAGCTCATAGTACCTTACTACCCCACCAGAGCACTGCGCTCCCAGAATGCAGGGTTACTTGTGGTTCCTAGAGTCTCCAAAAGTAGAATGGGAGCCAGAGCGTTCAGCTATCAAGCTCCTCTCCTGTGGAACCAGGTTCCAGTTTGGGTTCAGGAGGCAGACACCATCTCCACATTTAAGAGTAGGCTTAAGACTTTCCTCTTTGATAAAGCTTATAGTTAGGGCTGGCTCAGGTGAGTCCTGAACCATCCCTTAGTTATGCTGCTATAGGTCTAGACTGCCGGGGGATTTCCCATGATGCACTGAGCTCCTCTCTCCTCTACTTTCTCTCCCTCTGTATGCAACCTCATCCCATTATTGCATGTTACTAACACAACTTCTCCCCTTTCTGGTAGTCTTGTGCTTTCTCATCCCTCTCCTCTCTCCTCCTATCACTTCCTGCAGGTTTTCTGGCTCTGGAGCTGTGGAGTCTGGATCTGTGGCTGCGGGTCACCTGCTGCCCCTGTGTTCCTGCTCGACACCCTCTGCTGCAACGACTATTGTTGCTAGTCTTATTGTTATTATTGTTATAATCATTAACATTACGATTGTTACCATTAACACTATTATAAATATCTGTACCATTTTTCATTTAGTCTATAGCAACATCACCTTCACTGTCTGTACCTCTGTGTGTATATTGTGTAGGCTGCCTCCCTCCCCTCTCTCTCTCTCCTTACATCCCTCTCTTTTCCTCTCTGTTCCTCTCCTGCTCCCCCCCCCCCCCTCTCCTTCACCCCAACCGGTCGAGGCAGATGGCCGCCCACCCTGAGCCATGGTTCTGCTCGAGGTTTCTGCCTCTTAAAAGCAAGTTTTTCCTTGCCTCTGTCACCTAGTGCTTGCTCTTGGTGGGAACTGTTGGGCTTCTGTAAATAGCATCATAGAGTACGGTCTAGACCTGCTCTTTTATGAAAAGCGCTGTGAGATAACTGTTGTTGTGATTTGGCGCTATATAAATAAAATTGAATTGAATTACTATCACCTCTTCCCTCTAAAAAAACAAAAACAAAACACACACACACCTGGCACTTTTGGAAGAACTCCTGGTTGACGACCACATCGTATGCTGTGCAACCCTGAGAGCCTGAAAAAAAGAAGGTCAAATTCAATTTCATAAATCAGCTGTTGTATGTATAAGAGTTTTAAAATTGAAAAAAATATCGCTTTAAAAGGTCTGAAAGCTCTAGAGACACATCTATCTTGGAAAATGTAAACACTGTTGACTCCCTCTGTCTGAAATAAATACTGTGATGTCAAAACAGATTGCGGCAATAATTCATGATATAAACAGAAATTCTTTGCCTGAGGTGGAATGCTGCCAAGTCCTTGGAATAGAGACTTAAATAGAATTGTGCTGCCTTCTTGTGAAAATTGCTTCATAGTTTGTATGCCTGCAACTTGCATCTGCCAGCAGAAAATATAATTTTCAGTTTTTCGCATATGACAACTTGGCATTGAGATCAACCTTCTAACGTGGTTTCTTCATAAAATGAAGGAGACCACTCACGCTGCGGTTCATTTAATAATTATGCTCTCCCTCTAAATGCAGTAGTGCGCTATACCTCAGACGTCTGCCGCCTGCTGTGACACAGAGAACAGCCAGTGAGGCAGTCAGTTCAAGTTTGGGTTTATTGCTTGCGTGACTGTGTGGAGAACTGACCTGAAGGGACTAGTGTTAGCAAGCCAGGAAGTGTGGGGCCGGCCCCGGGCAAGGGGTTTTTATGCTGGAATGTGTGTGTGTGTGTGTACAGCAGCGCCAGTGCGTGTAAATAAAGACACTGTTAAAACGTACTCCTGAGTCGGCGTCTGTGCTGGGGACACCAGCAGCAAGAGGCTTCTGCTATATATATTTACAGTGCGTATAACAGGTCAGAGTCACATTGAATAGAAGTGGAATGGAGGATTATGAAGAAACTTTACATTTCAGGTCAAAACGTTTCATTTAACTATTTTAAAATGGTGCATAGGTATGACAGTTGACCTAAGTCATCATAAAATAAAGATAAAATAATCGCCTGCCTAAGAAAAAAATAGCGTCTCAGGCATTAGTCACATACTGTTGTCTATTTCTATGTGTGGCTCGCCGAGGCTCATTGGAACTCTGTAGCCACTTGGATCATCCGATTGGAGCAGGTCCTCAAGCTCCTCTCTGGAGAGGTCTGGTGGAGGCGGGACTGAGTTTGACTGACAGATGTTAACGAAGACCTTCTGCTTGCCTGGCTGGGAGAGAGTCTTCACACACATGCCTGGGAGGGAGAAGATAAAGACAAAGAAAAACACTAAAACACAGAGAAAACACGAAACCCACAAAAAAATATCCATGAGCAAGCTGTGGCACTGCCTTTCAAATTTGAAGATTTGATATTACTCGTACAGTGGAAACCGTTTATAGTGATCATGGTTACAGTGATCAACAGTTTATATGGATAAGCTCACTGCACTCTGCTGGGGTTTTAAGATGTTTACAGTGCGTAATTATTGTCCCTGCTCTCTCACAGCAGCAGCTATGTTACGTGTGTGGAGTGTAAAGCTTTTATCCTGACCATTTAGACCGGGTTTGGAGCATGAGAGGGCCACGTTTAAATCTGGAAGTATCGTATCTGCCCCTGTCATTACTTTGTAAGGTGGTCACAAGAAGCAGTTTCCACTGTGTTTTGGAGACACTCACCAGGCTCTGGTCTGATTACTTTGGAGTCTGGATTCTTGGTCTGCATCTTTCCCATTGTCTAAACGGAAAACAGATGGACAGAACAGATTGCAGACCCATTGGGACATGTCACACATATTCAACTACATCAAAATAAAAGCTGTTTTGGTTAAAATGATTGTGTATTATATAGTTTATATAATGCATGTATTGAAACGGTTGTGTAGTTACAGATTAATTCTGTTGTTATCCTTGTGTGACAGACTTGCTAACCAATCACAAGCGCCATGCGCCTCCTGTTATAGTCCTACTCAACTATCAAAGCGGGCACAGGGCGTGTACATTTTACAACAACAAACGAAACTAGAGGAAAATGTGCTGGATATTGGCACCAGCCGAACAGACACAGGTAGCAGCTGTGCCTCGTTTTGTCCGGCACAAGCAGGAAGCTTCTGGTCTGAGACACGAATCCAAAGCAGAAGTCCCTTAAACCTGCAATGAACGGCCAGAAGGGGGCGACTCTTCTAGTTGAAAAATGAAGTCCGGCTCCGTTGGAAATAATGGCAAAATGACTCTACTTCTCAGCTGATTTACTACCTCTGTAAACACAGTTGCTAGTTTCATGTCTTCTTCAATACAACATGATGTTTATTTAGTAAATGATGGTCCCATTAAGCAGAGTATGGGCAGAATAGAGTATGGGTAACTACGTCCACTTCTTTTATACAGTCTATGGACTGTATACCAACTCACACTGAAGAGTTTCAGCAGTGGAGCGTTTAGCCCTACGTGGTGTTAATTTGTCATTTTGTACACTAGAAGCGGTTTCCACTTTATTGTAACAGCCCTCTGTGAGCCCGTTCCGCTCCGCTCTGTGCGGGCTACATATCCACAGCTGGAGTTATGGAGATTTTGCTTATTTGTTAAGTTGTCCTTGAATTTTGAGCTTCCACATTTACATTTATTCATTTAGCTGAAGCTTTTTATCTAAAGCGCATGGTCGCATGCCTCCGGAGCAACTAGGGGTTAAGTGTCTTGCTCAGGGACACATTGGTGGATGTGTCACAGTGAGGAATTGAACCTGGGTCTCTCACACGAAAGGCATGTGTCTTGTCTACTGCGCCATCACTATCCCCTCTATCATGATCAAGGTAGGCTACGTAGTAAAAGTGTTTCTTTTTTGTCTGTGTTTAAACTGTGTTTATTGTTAATATATGATCGGGAGTATGCACATGGTGTTTTATTTCGTAATTCGACCGGATTCTCTATGCCGTTCTGTGTCGGACTTCCTGCCCAGTTCATCTGCTCAGTGCTGCACCTTAGAATAGTTTAAAACTGCAGTGTTTTCCCAGTTTAATGTGAGCTTTAGATGAATGCTTTGATGCTGGCCGGGGAGGTTGGGGGTTTTCCGATGAAAAATATGTAATTTCCCATCATATTGGGCCATTATTTTCACCATATCTCTGAACAAATAGTTGGAAAAGCAAGAGTAGATAATAAATAAACAACAGCCAAAGATCAGTCTACTGGAGGAACTACAACCTTTAGATCTGGAGAAAGTAGTTTGGTTGGTTCTGTTGCTCCACAGTGATTTTACAGTGATGGCACAGCATGTTTTGGGCATCACCCCTAAGCCTTAATGGCAGGAAAACCCTGTGCAACGTGGCGTTGGTGGATGGAGCGAGACATGATGTCCCAGATGTGCTCAATTGGATTCAGGTCTGGGGAACGGGCGGGCCGGTCCATAGCATCAATGCCTTCCTCTTGCAGGAACTGCTGACACACTCCAGTCACATGAGGTCTAGCATTGTCTTGCATTAGGAGGAACCCAGGGCCAACCGCACCAGCATATGGTCTCACAAGGGGTCTGAGGATCTCATCTCAGTACCTAATGGCAGTCAGGCTACCTCTGGCGAGCACATGGAGGGCTGTGTGGCCCCCCAAAGAAATGCCACCCCACACCATTACTGACCCACCGCCAAACCGGTCATGCTGGCGGATGTTGCAGGCAGCAGAACGTTCTCCACGGTGTCTCCAGACTCTGTCACGTCTGTCACATGTGCTCAGTGTGAACCTGCTTTCATCTGTGAAGAGCACAGGGCGCCAGTGGCGAATTTGCCAATCTTGGTGTTCTCTGGCAAATGCCAAACAGCCTGCACGGTGTTGGGCTGTAAGCACAACCCCCACCTGTGGACGTCGGGCCCTCATACCACCCTCATGGAGTCTGTTTCTGACCGTTTGAGCAGACACATGCACATTTGTGGCCTGCTGGAGGTCATTTTGCAGGGCTCTGGCAGTGCTCCTCCTGCTCCTCCTTGCACAAAGGCGGAGGTAGCGGTAGGTTACTGCCCTCCTACGGCCTCCTCCACGTCTCCTGATGTACTGGCCTGTCTCCTGGTAGCGCCTCCATGCTCTGGACACTACGCTGACAGACACAGCAAACCTTCTTGCCACAGCTCGCATTGATGTGCCATCCTGGATGAGCTGCACTACCTGAGCCACTTGTGTGGGTTGTAGACTCAGTCTCATGCTACTACTAGAGTGAAAGCACCACCAGCATTCAAAAGTGACCAAACATCAGCCCAGAAGCATAGGAACTGAGAAGTGGTCTGTGGTCACCACCTGCAGAACCACTCCTTTATTGGGGGTGTCTTGCTAATTGCCTATAATTTCCACCTGTTGTCTATTCCATTTGCACAACAGCATGTGAAATTGATTGTCAGTCAGTGTTGCTTCCTAAGTGGACAGTTTGATTTCACAGGAGTGTGACTGACTTGGAGTTACAGTGTGTTGTTTAAGTGTTCCCTTTATTTTTTTGAGCAGTGTATTATTGTGTTAAGAATAACTTCATTTCTGCTGCAACTGCAGTGGAACAAATCAGGACGAAATCTAAAAATATTTTAGCAATTGGTGTGTAATAATAGCCTACTTCTCATCATCAATACCGAGTACAGATGTGGTGTGTGACATCCCCATCTTTTGGCTTCTGGATGTCTGTCTCTTTGTGTCCTCTGTTGCAGATGTCAGGAGGCGTGGTTAAAATCATCAGCTGTTGGAACCACCTGGGCCCGGTGGTCTCCACTATAAGAGCGCGTCTTTTGTTCTGCAATGGGGGCTAGAAAGGAGGGATACCCTGTTCCTTATGCTCCACGCTCCTCGTTATTTTGTTTCTTTTACCATACAACACTTCACACACTATTCTTTCAAGCATGCATATCTGCTGACATGACTGATCTACTGATAATCATACTTCATATGATTTTTGGACTATTAAGTTGTTTCTGTTTAGTTTGAAATAAAAGTAATGGTACCTTTTCAGCAGTTTGTGTCATTGTTCTGTTCTTTTTTGTTGCGGTTTAGAGCCAGCTGTGACAGGTGTATAGTCCAAGTATACAGGGTAACCTTGAGTTAACCACGAACATAACCTGCTCGGAGTTGCAGCGTAAATTGCCATGGCAACAGACCTCGGTTAAAACCTATCCACCTTTTGTAGTAGGGGTTAATCAAGAAGTTAGACCTGACGTCACAAAGTTGCTCCTGAAGTTACCTAGATAGGCCAGTTACCTCGCTTTGTAGTACAGGCCACAGGGCAACATTTAATTTCAGCGAACACACAGAACAGACAGCTAGCGGAGCGTGAGGAGCTATATGCTGAATTTGAAAAAAAAAAAAGCGTGTAAAAAGCAAAACAAAAAAAACCCCTGAATAATAAAAAGATTGGATTAGAATTGTTTACCCACCTTTAACAAATACCTAAAATTCTGTTGAAGGGGTTATTCATTTTACAGTTGTTTTATTTCATTACCGAATCGAAAGTACATTTAAAAATCAAAATACTGTAGGCTACAACAAACAAACAAAAAAATCATAATAAAAGATACATAAAATACTCAATTTAATTTTTGTATAAGAATATTACATATATATTAGGGCTGTCCCCGACTTAGGATTTACATAGTCGAATCAGAATCGTCAAGTCCTGCCTATAGTCGACTGATAGTCGAATCATGTGTGTTTTTGTGCGCAGCGACGGCACAACACCGTGAAGCTCTCTTCAGAAAATGTTCATCCACTGCCACATCGCACGATTGTTCCGCGTTAAATTTAATAATGAATTCTTGTATTGCGCAATTTTTATTTAAATGTACTACTATATACACAAAGTGTAATAACATGTGGTTTGCAAACACTTTAAACAAATAAGGTGCTTTTTACCAGCAGTATTCCCTTTACACAGTAGCAATAAAATATTTCTTGTAAATCTCAACTTAAACATTAATGTAGTGAAATCAAATATTAAACCAAAGCTATTTGCCACTACCAGGGCATTACCTTTTATCTAGCTTGTTAAAACAAGTTACCATCAGAGTCCAGTTTTCCAGGTATCAGGTATCTTTTATCAGGGAGCAGCAGAAACAGTCTGTTCAGTTGTGACTTTCTTGACTTGCAAAATTATCTTTTAAATTGACAAACATCATATGCAGAGGCATAGGTATAGACCGTGCAGACAGTCCAACTGCACTGGGGCCCGCATTGTACAGGTGGCCCGTGATGGGAGGGGCCCCGCCAGGTTATGAGCTGGACTTTGTCAGTTACATGGTAAAAATACATCTGGTCTCATCATTTAACAGTAGACACCCTCAAATGTGCATTTCCCCTTAGCCGTGGTGTCTGACACCACATACAAATGTCTGTAGCAAGCAGTAGGCTATAAGGTATACGGTGAAATATAAATAAAATTGACACAGTATCACATAGCCCACATATGCAGTGATGATTGCTGGGTAATATGTGTATGGCTGCCCAATCTTAAGTTTCTATTTGATCATGTGACAAGACGAAAAGACTCCAGAAACCAGGTGAAATGCAAAATCTGATGAGTAGACTAGCAGAGCACACACGCAAGCTAGCAGTCATGCTATTCAAACATAAAAGTTGTTTCAAGAAGAGAGAGGAGAGAAAAGAACAGGAAAGGGACAAGTAAATAGTGATAAATACAGCTAGCAGTTAGGCTACTTTATATAAACTGAGCTAATGATAAGTTACAAAGCAACTGAAGTCGGATCCTACCGTATAAGCTTTCTTGCTCAGCTGCACGGTCTGAAGGGGAGGGGAGAATTAGCTAGCGAAAACCGGCTTCACTCTTCCAGCAGTTGGGGAAACAACAGACAGACTTTTGTTGGTCTTGCGAAGCTCTTATAACAGCACCTGTCACTTAGATGTCCTTTAAAGAATGAGGAGAGGAAGCAAGCCAAGCTTCAAGTGCTACCGTGCTCGCATAGTGTGTGAGTGAAAATTAGTAGCGCATTGATATTATAATGATTGTGTGATATTTTAGTAGCGGCGGTCACAATTCAGCAGCGAAGAGACAGGAGAGAAAAGAACAGAACAGCGGCGCAAAAATTAGTTGTCTCTTGCCACTGATTACCCTACATATTTTTTTTTCCAAAATAAGGTCCCATTGTGGTCCACTGGAAAGGGAGCGACATAGGCTCTCTATAGGCATTATTAAGTCCCAAAAGCCAAGTGGGCCCTTGCCAGGATGGTTTTTCCGCTCGCAGATCCTGTTCTGTGTTAATATCATGTATAAGCACCTAGTTTTCATGTACTCGCCATATGACTCTCATTTTGTCTCCCCTGAGGGGCATCACATGAGATGATACTGGGCTGCTAAACCAATGATATAAAAAAGGTGAGAAAAGCTGTGCCGCTTGAAAGAGAAACACTCTGGCATGCTACAATGACTTATCACCAGCCGCTCAGCTTTTCTTTATTACACAAAAATAATCATGAAGTGTATACCTCAGTGACATGTCCGAAAGGTATGAAGGAATAAAATAGATAACCACCTAAGCCTATCTCACTATTTTTGCTTTATTATACCAAGAACCATCCTGTAACTGTCATTTGTAGTCACAGTGATAACTGTTAAGCAAAAAGTTATGAAGTCTTCTTCTAACCCAATTAACGTTGAAGCAATATTACCTGTAACAGCAGCTGTTGATAAAGTTCCTCTTGCTGCTGTAACTCCTGCTCAGAGTTGAGGAGTGAAGAGTCGGTCATCATGGCTATGGGCAGAAATCGGTCAATGAAACCAACTTTCAAATACAAAAATGTTATTTTTTTTATAATGACAAGGAATCAAATAACTCAATATAATGTGAAAAGGAATGCTCATAAACAGCAGAGCCAAGACTTTTAGTCCCTATAAATTAAGCTCCCAAAATACATTTTCCATAATGCAACTCAAAAGGTATCTTTCAAAGTCAAAGTCATGGACTCCTAAATGCTCACTTCATTCAAACCTCCAGTTTGTAACACAGGCTTTTAAACATTTTAAGTCTCAAACCCAAGTTGAGAAAACCCCGGTTATAGAGTTATATTCAAACCCTGACGAGCTTGTCCACAAACTCAGGACTAAACATGATACTAATGTGCATTAAGGGAAATGTCGCTACACTAATAACTAATAAAATATACCAGTCACGTATTAAATAATAATTTAAGGATGATAGAAGTTTATCCTCAACACACATGTTGATGTACACATGCTGTTGTAATGGAGGGAGAGGTGGGTAAGACAGTGAGCTCAAGATAACTCGGATCCTTGTGTGGACTGACATATTATTTAACCTTCAATTAGCTAGCTAACGTTACATAGCTTAACAGGTATTTGGATTTCGTGAATCGGCGACCTCTTTCTGTCTCATCAGGTCATCGATACAGACAAGATCAAAACCGCTAAAGTTACCGGTTAAAGTTGAGGAAAGAGTCGTCGTCTTGGTTACACAACTCATGAGGTGTTTCTATGTTCTTCCCGGATAAGTTAGCATAGCTTTAGCCTCCCAGCACTGCACACTAGCTGAGTGACTGTGTGTTTACTGTGCCCCTCTTCTCGACACACGTAAATAAAAATTTGTTTACCTTTCCACCCGTGCCTTCGGTTACTGTTGTGAAATTTCACACCGACATTCTTCTTCTTCTGCTTCTGCTTCTTCTTCTTCTTCTTCTTGGAATTTAAGGAAATGGTGTATTGCTGCCACCAACTGGTATGGAGTGTGGATCTGAATGACTACAAATTTTATACCAAACAAAACAAAGCAAAACAAAATCAACAAAACAAAAATAAGACTCAGATCCTCTCAATCATATTGATTAATCTAAGATAATGAAAAACAATTCCATAGCACTTTCTAAGAACTATTAAATCAAAGTGTATTCTTTCCTTTCTAAGATTTTGGATCATTTCCCTCCATATTCTCTCATACTTCTTACAGTGTACCACGACGTGTTCGATTGTCTCTTGCTGCTCACTGTATTCACATCTGCCGGTGTTATGTTTACCAATTTTGAATAAAGTACTGTGTGCCCAAATCTAAGTCTTGATATCAGTGTCTCTTCTCTCCTGTTTCTTCCTGCATATCTCATTTCTCCCATTCTCCTCTGAATTATGTAAAACCACTGTCCTTTCCTCTCTTCCTCCCCTTGCTTTTGCCACCTTTCCTTCAGCTTCTGTTTAATAATGCTCTTTATTTCCATCTTACTGGTGCTGACCGCCACATTGTTGTCTTCTCTTTTTGTGGCCTCCTTTGCAGCCTTATCTGCCTTTTAATTTCCTTTGATTCCAATATGTGCTGGCACCCACAAAAATATGACTGCAATGCCCATCATTTGAACTCTATATAATGTCTGCTGTATTTCTATCATAATGTCTGCTCTGCTGTCTTGGTGACTGCTCTGTAAACTGCTTAGTGATGAAGTTGAATCTGAACTAATAATCACTCTCAGTGGTCTTATTTCTTCTATCCGTTGCATTGCTAACAAAATTGGTAGCATTTCTCCTGTGTATACTGATACATTATCACTGATCCTCTTCCCTGTTGCAATATGAAACTCTGGAACAATAAAAGCTACTCCTATCTTGTTAACCAAACTCTTTGATGCATCTGTGTAGATCTGGATGTAACTGTGGTAACTATTAATATATGTCTGTATAGCATGTGAATTCAAAATAAACCCCCTGTCCTTGTTTTTCTTTTCTAATAGTGTAAGATCTACTTTCGCTTCAGGTAGTACGCAAGGTGGTACTGCTGGCAGTGGTACTGTTGGACTGAATTTTAAATCAGTTAATTCTAACTCTGTTGCTTTTTGTATAACTGTCCACCCAAACCTTTTTGTCTCCCTCCTCTCCTTTTCCCAACAAGATTTTAAAGTGCTTTGTGCTGGATGATCTTCACTATGGCCCTGTAAATTAACCCAATAGTTCAGAGATAGCTGTATTCTTCTCAAGTCAAGTGGCATTTCTCCCATTTCCACCTGTAGTGCTGCCTTTGGAGTTGTTTTAAATGCCCCTGTGCATAATCTCAAAGCCTGAAACTGAATGTTGTCTAACTTTTTTAGAGATGTGCTTGATGCAGATCCATACACCACACAACCATAATCCAGTACTGATATAAATAATCCACAGTAAATTGCCTTCAGTGCTGTTCTGTCAGCCCTCCAATCACTTCCCACTAAACACCTCATAACATTTAACACCTTCCTACATTTGTCCCAGCAACACTTCCGACACGGAACCTTCACAATAAATGATTGATGATCATCAGCATCCTCATAATCTTCTTCTTCATGTCGAATAGCATAGGCGTCACTAGACCCTTTTTACTGGGGTACGTCCCCTTGTATCCATGTGCTGTGTCACAGTATTAAAATTCTCGTTTTTGGACGTGGAGGGCTCCGCGGTCAAGTTTGCAACAATTGGCAACATACGCAACGTCAGGTTACACTTTCAAAATAAACTACTGGTTAATGTGAAGCGGTACGTAGGCTAGTTAACGATATGAAAGTCGCAAAAAGCGGGTGTTTGACGTTGATGAGAAGACAAATAGGGACTATCCTTCTGTGCACAAGAAGAGAAAATAACTCAATGAGTGACTTTGGGGAACAACCTAAAACTAACGTAACTAACGTAAACTTGTGTTCTCTCCTCTGAAAGTCTGATGACAGTGCCTCCACTCCACACACTCGCACGTGCACATGGACACACACACGCGTACACACGCATCAAAGTCAGCCAGCTGATCAGCCGACATTGACAACTAGGTTCGTTAGTGTAAGTGCATGGTGCAATAAAAATTAGCGAGTAAAAAGCCAATACTTTACCAACATACCTGTTTAATAAGCACAAACAGGCAAAAGACAATGTTTTAATCTGCTCAGTCTCTCATCCACCAGCTGTGTTTTGGTTTTACACAGGCACAGCGCTAGTTCGGCTAATAACTTGTTGTTACAAACAAGCTAAAGTGAAAGAGTCTGTCTTTAGTAACTGTTTAGCTTAGTTTTCCAGTACATTAAAATATGATACATTATAACATTATAAACAGCTCTCCTCTCTACCAGCAGCAGCAGAGGGGGGAGGAAGACAAGAGGTGCTGAGTTGTTTATACTTTCTAAGCTTCACTCAGTATGTTGATGTCAGGTCAGGAATATGATTTATTTTACTGACATTTCAGATTTGTTTCCAGTGAGATATTATTGACTTTGCTGTTGTAAATCCTGTTGCTGCTCTAGAAACAACATTTAGTTAATAAAAATGTTGCATTTTTTTTTTAAATAATAGCCTATATTCAATTATTTAGTAATAAATAGGACTGATAAAAGCTTTGATAAAGAACTGAACCGGCCCATCTCTGTGTCCTGGTTTTAAAATCCGTCCCAATTGAATTTGTAATTGAATAGCCCTGGTCTACAGTAATCATAGTAATATATCTTCCTTGCAACGGAATGTATATTGTAGACAATGTTTTGTCCTTGTAATCCATGTTTCCATTGCATGGATAGTCTTTGGATATTGCTGGAAATTGTTCTCAGTCCCCCTCCTTAAGAGGTAGATTATTATCATAACAATTTAATAATGCATTTCCTTTTAACAGAACGTTTCATACACAAAAAGCGTTAACAGTAGCCTACTGGTCCTACCTGGACACGCAGTCTGCCAAAATATGTATTCCACTCCATAATGCGAAGATGATGGCCTACTATCAAGTATTTTGTTTTGTGTATATTTCACATCATGACTAATAACAGGGTGAATATGGTGGTGTTTCTTGTTTACTAGCAAACGTTATAGTGGGATACAAAATACAAACTGGGATACTGAGAATATCTAGTACACTAGAGTTTAAACTGTTCATTAAGCCTTTGAATTATGCTTTAAAAAAGTGAGAAAAAAAATCATCCATTTCAAAAAGTGGCGGGGACAAGTCCCCAGTGTAAATGACACTTAAGTTTGATTCCATCACCTGGGGATTTGAACCCTGCACCTTCAGATCTCCACTTACTGACTGACCTACTGGTGAGAGGATGTTTCCACACACCTTGTTACAAATTGAGGTAGTGACGTCACATGTGCCAGACTTAGATAGTTTTTTCAGTTTACACTTAAAACCCTTACAACAGTCAAGATGTTGGTGAGAAAATTCACACATCATTCTGCTGGTTTTGGGTGTATTTTCAATTATTTTGGTGGCATTTGATCCAAAACTGAGCAGAAAAGAAAATTTGCATAATGTACAAGTTAAAACGGGTGATTTTGTTAGATTTTTTGAAGTCAGGAATGAGAAATGTCTAGAAATTTACATTTCTTGTAAAAGCTACATCCACTTTGAGCTAAATTACTAAATTTTATGCATCAACTAAGTAGTGACCCGAGATCGTACAAACCCGAATTTTGTACGAATCCATGCAGCGAATTACAAGGTATAAACTTTTTGCAAGTGTAGCACCCACTAGTGGAAGAATATCCCAGGACTGCTCAGCGAACCCTGGACAATCAAACCAATAATAACTAATTAAGGAATTGAACAATGGACCAGAGTAAGTAGGTTACATTTCAGACATTAGAATTTCCTGGCATGAGTGCTTTTGACCTTTTTTATAGCCAAAACTAAAATTATATTTTTAGTGCATTCCACAATGGTGAGGATTTAGCAACATTTATGTATTTGTTATGATAATGATATTATTGTATACGAAACTGAATGGGCAATGCTTGTTCTTCAGGATTCCTGGATATACAGTATCTGAAGGAGAAGAAATCTTTTTTTAAATTATTTGAAGCTCAGCCAATCATGTCACAAAATAGGTGCACTGTTGTTTCTACCTTCACTTGGGTCTGACGTGGAAAACTTCAGTAGTGCGTCAACAGGGGTGTACTGGCACCGAAATTCAGCGCGGGAATTTGAGACAAAGAGGCCTTTTATGCGAGTGCCCTGTGGGGGCGCGGAGAAAGACCTGCCTCTTAAGTTTGTATAAGCAAGGCACCACTGCACTGAACAAGACCAGGTCAGGCAAGCCTGAGTGAGTCAGAGTGCTGAAATAGATAAATATACTCAGAAACTACAGGGCAGTCTAAGTGTGTGCATAAAAATCAGATCCCTCAGGTTCAGATGAGTAGGCCTCTCCCTGGCTCAGCTTCCCTTGTGCTGGACCCTGCTTCTGCTTGTACTGATTGTGCATCTACATATGAATCTTAAGAACATCAGTAATAAAACTAACTAACTAATCCGTTTTATTATTCTATCCATGGATGGTTGCCTACCCAGCCCTGCACAGGCCCCTGTACCTGTCACTGTTTTTGGTTCCGTTGTGCTTCTCCTTGTCCACCTGTTGCTTCTCTTCCTCGTCCTTCTTCTGTAGCTGTCCCCGTGCATCAACAAGGCACAAGGCCTAAAGTTATGCATAACTAGTTCCGTGTCTGGGCCGGGCCGATGTGACGCGTCCTTGTTCAGAATGGTAGGTGAAACCAATGTGAGACGCACACATTGAGAGGTGAAATTAAATAAATACATAAATGAACAAATAAATAATCTCATAGCAGCTGGTGCTGAAATAGATCTATCATGACAG